TAACTGCATTTTCTAAAACAAATTATGATCAGATTTTTAGTGACTAGTGAGGGATATTGCTGAGCTAACCTGAACTACTGTTCAAACAATAAACATGAAAATAACATCTTGAAACAATAGCCACAGATAAGAACAGGCACACAAAAAGAACAGATCTTTCCTTGTACTCAATTTTTAAAACCTGTATTTTACAGATTACTTTAGCCTGCTTTGCTCTGACAAGACTAAAAAGCACATAAGTTGTTCTGGAATCACCCTAAGGTCACTCCAGCACCTTTGCCCTTGGGTGTTTATTTACGTTGCCACTTCTCAGGGTAAATATACTGAAATTTACAAAACCCTTAAGCTTTGTTTTTTCTACAGACACTATGCAAAAATCCATTCTCCAGTTTGCCCACTGATAAAGTAAGGGTGACTAATGTGGATGTGGAATCTTTTGTGGCAGACTTTTGTTAGCAACCTTTCCTCAGTAAAACATATCCTCATCCAGAACACTGCAATATATGGTCGGTATAATTACCCATTAAGTGTGACAGAACATGGGAAACTGAGCATGTTTTGCAGCCTGAAGCAATCTGTTCATTATTTAGCTCTACTAGCCTGGGTCAGCCACTGCCTCTCACAACTGTTTGTCTTCTTGACTACCGAGACCAGAAGATGTTTTAGACAAAGAACGAACGGGAGGTATATCACTGCTCCTGAGTTTGCTGTGCTGAGTGGATAGAGAACATAGTTCCTCACACAGGACTAGCACAGTCTTGCAGCACCACAGGATCTATCCAGAACCACAGACTGCACAGAAATCCCCGGAGCCGTCTCCCGTTTGCTCCGCTCTGCCGGGGCCAGCCGGGCGGGCGCAGCTCGGTCCGAGCGCTCCGCGCAGCCAGGCCAGGCCCCCGGCGCAGCGAGGCCCAGCGGGGCAGCCCCCACACACCGCAGGGCTCCGAGCCGATGGGCGCAGCTGGGAATGGACGTGCTGGGCCAGCGGCAGCACCGAGGGACGGCCAAAACCCAAGGAGCCCTAAAGGGGTGCCGCAGGCCACCTCACCTCACCTCGCATCCCTTTACGCCTCAGGTGCCCCAAACGCCAGGAGAGACAGGCGGTCTTACAGGCGAGGATCCAGAGGGTCTCCGCTGTGGGGACAGCCGCTCTCTCTGGGTGACTCCCACACGCACACAGATGCCGGGGCGGCTCGTTCTCCTCACCCAGCTCTCCCAGCTCCTGGGCTGGCAGCGGCCGCGCCGCGCTCCCCGCCGCCTCTGCGCTTGCAAGCACGCACTGCGCTTGCGGCTCCTCACCTGAGCCACGGTATTCCAGCGCTGCCTGGCGCCTCCCCGGTTCGCCAGCCGGGCCCGCGCCGGCAGCGGCCCCCGCCAGGCACGCCGGGCCCCCGTCCTCCATCGCCGGCAGAGAACGCGGCCAGCGGCACTCCGCGGCTCCGGGCGGGCTGACCCCCGGCGGCTCCCGCGGCCGCTCCGCCCTCCCCGGGCCGCCTCGGGCCGCTGCTCGGCCCCGCGCTGCCGAGCCGGGCCGGGCCGGGCCGGGCGGGGCTGGGGCAGCGGCAGCTCCGAGCCGCGCACTGCCCGCAGGGACGCTGCGGGGACGCGCGTGGGCATCCCCCGTGTCCCATGTGTCTGTCGCAGGTGTTTCCAGTACAGCTACAGATCTGTTTACAAAACAAACTACAAAGAGAGGGGTACCCAAGCAAAAAAAAAAAAAAAAAAAAAGTACCCACAGCTGCTTGTTGTTTGAGGCATTTAATAATTTATTTGTGCTGGTCTTCTGATAAGCACAAACCCCTCTCAGACACATACTGATTATTTTCAGTCTAAGTCAGACGAATATATTATTTATGTACCTGCAATTTTTTCAAGACCGTTCCCTCCCCAAAAACAACCACCAACATGAAATTTGTCCTTTAATTACACATTTTGGATTTTGGATGTTTTGGATTTTGGGTTCTCTCATCTCTCCCTATCTTACACCCTGCCCTGACAATTGTTTTTTTACAGCTGAGGTGAAAAATCTTAACTGAAACACTGCAGCCTGAGTGCTCACTACACGAGAGTAGCAATACTCATTTTTATAGTGAACAACCTCAACAGACCATCAGTAGTTGATAATTGTGGAAAGAAGGGAGAAAAGGCATGCACCATCCTACTGCTCCGTTTGTGTTTCTCCTGGGGTGCACACCCAAAGCTCAGAGTTCCACATCACACAGATTCCTGGGAATATCTGGTTTTCCCAATACTCTTCAGAGGATCTCATGTAGAGTGCATATCTGTGCATCTATGATGATTATTAGTGTTTGTGCTTTTAATTTGTTCACTTGTTGTAACCTTCATGGCATTACTTTAAATTTAGGACAGAGAAATGTTCTTCTTAGAAACAGCACTCAAATATGATTGCTACCTAAAAATTTGGCTCTCATGTCTTATCATAAAATAATAAATTATACTTAGAAAATAAAGATGCAAATATATTTTTCTTTATAACACAAAGATAATTCATCACTTCACATATAAAATATAATTGAAATGATACATACATTGCAGCCTTGGTAGCTGGAGACTTTCTTTAATATCTGATTTTTAGTTGTCTCAGAACACTGATATGAAAAAGGGATTGAAGCATCATGAGCTCTTAGATGTTATCCTGGGATCCTGAATAGGATTAATAACCTCAAGAGTGTAAGTTCAAATGATGTTTAAGGTCCTTCAGAAAGCATACAGCTTCAATTTTTCTTTACTTTTCACAAATCGATTTCTAACATTTTATATATATTCATATTTTACTTTCATAGCACCTCTTGATATCCATTAGTTTTTAATGGGAAAATAAAAAATGCAGACAAAACCATTAAATACAATAAAAAATGAAGTCTTTATTCTTTTGGCTCAACTGTAATGTGGTTTACTGTTCTTTATGGTAATAGCATTTTCCTGCATGCAGTTCACCGACACACAAGTCAATATTTTTGTAAAAGGAGGAGTCAACATCGAATTTTTGCTTGTGTAAGAAACACAAAATGTCCTGATGTGATCAATTATACAAGTTTGCTATTTAATTCCTGTGGAAAAAAAACATTGTGGATCCCATATTATATTTAGAACAGTTCTAGTGCAGCATGAATCAACAAGAATAAGAATAGTCTATGTAAACAAACACTGGTAAAGATTTCATGAATAAAAATACTACCTTGAAACTTCTGATGCAGGCAGTGCTAGAATCTTAAACAAATCCTCCCCACCACATTTCAATTACAAGTTATATCTATTTGGAAGCAAGTGCATTTTGGACTCAGTTTGAAACTTATTTCACATTAAAATGTGTGCAAAAATACAGTACTAATAAAAAAGCAGAAACCTAAAGCTACCCCATTCTTTCCTTTGTTTCTTATATTGTGAAGTTCTTGAATTAAAAAGTGCTATGGATAGAAAGTAATAAAAGTGACAGTAACATCAACCTGAAGATAATTCTCATTTCTTATTTTATGTACAAAATGCTGAAAAATAAAATAAAATGGTATTTTTTACAGTATTTATATTTTCTTAGAAAATTCTATCCATGTAGTTTTCAACAGATTAAGCAGTTTGCAACATATCCTGTACAGTCTGACTATGCACCGTACAGTAGTCACTTAAAATTTTAGAATGCAAAGCAAGAAGCTCTTAAATAACTGCAAACTATTGCTTGATGTCGTGAAAGAATGATGACCAATTGAACAATTTAATTCACTTAACCACTGAGCTATGGCTTCCCATATTAGACTCTTAACAGTGGAAGGAGTAAAATTACAGCAGCAAAGGCAAGATAAACATGCATCAGTGATAGCTTCCAAACTGTCTATAATGGTACAGAATACTTCATATTAGCTGTTGAGAGATTGCAAATTACACTTACTGTGGTACATATTTGATGCAATAAATATTGTGCACATGTCATTATTTGTTTGCTCAAACATGCACCACGGGATAAAATAACTATTTACATAGAGGGTACTTTTTTAATCAACACATACAATGTCAACCTTGCTGAGAGCAGAAGATGGCTAAATGATACTGCAGGGTGAAGCAAAACAACTTCATAATCCTTGTGTTTTGCAGGTTTTTGGTAAATTCAATTTCCCAAGGTCAGGTAAACTGTTTTCTGCAGAAGAATACTTAGAAGTAGACTCTATGTCCCTCAGTAAAATTTTTATACAGAGATTGTTCAACTACTGTTAAATGACTCATGAAAAAATAAAACATCTGTTCTATTATTGTAGACTCTATGGGACTTTACAGGCACATTAAGATTTGTCTGGATGAGATACTAGATGGATACTGTTATTAAGCACCTCAACATACAGAGCCACCCTGAAACATGGAAGTAGTCAGACTGCTGCTTTGTGCGACGTCATGTTTTCCCATGCATGAACTACAAGTGCAGCATGCCTTCATGCAAATCACTTCTGTTTGTACATTATAGAGAATCCGAGAGCAGAACACCTGGTCCTCATACCCCCTTCCCCAACATAAAACCCATTTACAAAAATAGTCACATATAATAGTAAACAACCTGTGAATTAAAAAATGATAAGTTCACCAACACTTATTTTTGTAAAAATATGGCAAATGTGACTGTTGAAATGCTAACAGTGGATACAATTTTTGTACTGTGTGTTTCATGTTAAACACAGAGATTCATAGGTTTGCACCTTTTTTTTTAACTGGTCCCTACAGTCTGGTTGGCCATTTTATCATCTCTTCAGCAGTGTCAGCTGGTACTAAAAACAACAACCTCCTGTCAAGATGTTACCCTGTTTTACAGAGTTGCAGTTTGATGACAAGGGGTCACTGTCTTGCTATAGGCACTGACCTTATATATATATAATTATATATATATATCTATATATGTAAAAACTGACAGTTTGGCATGTACCTCCTACAGGAGTCCTGTTGACACAAATACATACTTTTTCAGGCTGTAAACAGTTTATTACAAACAGCGTTCTATGTTACTTTTTACTTTCCCTGCTGTCTTTACCTTTATCTTCTTTTTCTGACTTGTCTTTTTCATATTTATCCTTGTCTGGCTTTGTTACACTGTCATAAGAGGGTGGGGAGGTTGTGGATGGGGTCATATCTGTTTTTTCTGGAGTGGAGTTCTGGGAGATACAAAGTACTTCTCAATCATCTCAGCCAAAAACATACCTAGGAAAAAATAAGTTAAATCAGTAAAGAGTATTATTACATTTTAAAACCACTGCTAAAGATATATTCTACAAGGACCGTAGAACTTTAAGAAGAGTAGGATAAACAGATTTTTATAAATTATCCATTTAGTTTTTTTACAAAATCTTTGTGTTTGGTATATGTTTTTAGGACAAACTGATAACTAGTGTATGTATATTGGTAAATGCTGCGATTAGAGGAATACCCTTTTGTTTAATGGTAACAAAAATAATCTCTGTTAATCTGAAGAAAGATCATATGCACATTAGTATTAAAATTCCATGTAATCAAATTAGGTTATTCAAAAAAAAATACATATTTTAAGAGAAGTGCGACTTCTTAATCATATATAAAATAACATGAACACAGGTTTATCACTAATGACATAGAAATTCCAAACATAAAAAATTGATACAAAGGTTTATTATAATTCCCAGAAGAATAAAAGACTTGAGCGTTGCATTATGTGCCTCAAAGCAGAACAGTAACTTTTTTGACACAAAAATAGCAAAATTGATTTGCATATTAAGGAGTACTTAAAAGTTAAAAATCCACCATTTTTACTCCATTTCTTTCAGGTTTGCTGCTCTAGATAAAGCAAAATTAGTACAGTCATTATTTGTTACCACATCTGCTTCAGCTCTGCTTCTGCAGTGCTCACTCTAGCTCAGGCACAAAGCCTCTCAGGATCAAACAAAACTGAAGTAAGCAAAGGGTTTTGCCCTGCTCTCTGGGGTGCACACATCCTACCCTCATAACAGTCCCACACAAATTTTTTCTTGGATTTTTGATGATTGGACTCTTTCACCTGAAACTGTCCATGTAAGTTTATATCAAAATTGCCTTTCAGTATGTGTAGGAATCTCTACTGATTTCAGAATATGGATCTAATTTCAACCAGTAAAAAAGTAGGAGGGTATGAAACCTCTTTCTAACAAGTTCTTACTATACTTTTCAGTTATTTTATGTATAAGACTTTCTAGTGACAAAGTTGAACCCAAATATAAATAGAGTTTACACGCCAAAAATATTTCCATGTTCACAAATTAGACATTTCATAAAAATGAGTTGCTCTTACCTACTATGGAGAGAATCACAACCACAAAATCAAAAATATTCCAACCTATAGTAAAGTAGTAATGACGAAGTGAAATCAATTTCAGGACAAATTCTCCAGTGAAAAGTACGATAAACACCAGGTTAATCCAATATAAAATGTTTTCCATTTCTTCACTCTGATCATCTGTTTCTACCATCATTGTGACCATGTTAAGGCAGATGAGTATCATGATACTGATATCAAATGCTTGTTTTGTTACAAAATCAAAGACCATCCCTTGGAATTTGTTCTGTTATAGCAGAAGAAAAAGAAAAAAAAAAGGTATTTCAGATTAATAAGGTTTTTCTTATATAATGTAATTTTTTTGCTTATGATTTATTTCAGCCTGAGGCATAATAGAAAAAATAAAATTTTTAAATAGATGCAAAAATAACAGAAAATATTTTTATTCTTACTGCTGGTCGAGGTATAGGCTTTTGTGGTTTCTTGGAACCCAATTTTTTCATTGCATTGTAGTATTTCTTCTGTTCTTCTGTCATGAAAATGTCTTGACCTCCAAAGTAAACCCAAGAGACAAAAACTGGTTACAATCATGTATCTTTACTGATTACTTATAAATAATACTAATGATCACTCTTGTTCACATTCTCATCTGTAGGAAAATTTAGAACAGATATAAAAATCCTCTTTTATGATTTTTATATTAAGTATTAAGCTACAGAAAGTGTTGAGTTCAGCAGCTGGAACAGTGATACCTTTTCAGGCAGTGTTGACAAAACACAAAGACTAAAGAGGGTATGAACAAAGATAATTCAATGTTTATTATCAAAGTGCAGAAATCTATACTGCTGAACTCTGTGACATGAAGGTATAATAGCAGAGAGTTTTTATAGCCACATTTAGCTATTTCAGTGGTTAGTCTTTTTATGAGTCAATTAAGGCTTCAGTCACAAATCCATATCTTCAAAGATGACATTGAGTATTTCACTAACCATGGAGAGTCATAGATTGTCACTTGTCCATCAAACCCTCATCAAGCCAAAGTAGAAGCTTTAATAATTTAATGTATTTACTATGCAGTGCTCTTAACTAATTTATCATAAGAATATTAATAAAGTTGTCATCAGTGGACCAAAAATAAGAATTTTTTAATATTCTTTTCAGAATAACAGTGAAGTACTTATCTTCTTTTTCTGCTGGTTGAAATTGTCTATTATGACACCAATAAAAAGGTTCAAGGTAAAAAATGATCCAAAGATGATAAAGATGACAAAGTAAAGATACATGTACAGGTTATCTTCATACTTGGGCTGATCCAAAACCTGCAAAAAAGGCACAGAAACGACACATTAGTTTGACAGTGAACACTGTTAAAGATAGAATTTAGGGCTCCATCACTGTAACCTTTGGTTCCTGTGGTCAAATCCTGACATATATTCCAGTGATCTTCAATCTACAAGAAGTTACATTCTTGAAGTTAATTTTTAAAAATGAAACTGACCTGTAAGAATGTAGAATAAATACTGAAAACACAATTTAAACTAGCAAAGTTCCACCTGCCTGAGTGTACAGACAACCAGCAACACCAAGTTTTACATCTGCAGAATTTTCTGTAAATCTTGTGGGAGGCCAGTGTTGTGGGCTTGTGGAGATTTCACTGCTACAGGCACTTAGGAAACTGCACAGGATTGTGGAAGAGAGGCATCCAAGCCATGTTTAGACTAAGCATATTTTCTTGGTATAGCTCTGCACTGTCACTATACTACAACAGGCCTCCTGCTGTGAGTGCAGCTTACCAAAAAAAAAAAAAAAGGAGCTTTACCAGTATAGTTTATTCAATTGTCTACTTAGAACTAGAGGAAAACTTGCACCAAGGGAACAAGGGTCAGGCTAAAGGGTAAGAAAATGCATGGGTTTAATTAAAAATAAGCACTCTGCCCTAAAGAAAGCAGTCAGGCAGCTTGCAGAGAACAATGAAAATCTTAACTATAAATAAGATCAGTATTACAAAAAAAAAAAAACAACTTTCCCTGAATTGCTGTCTGTTTCTAAATATAAAGAATGACTCAAAGCATAATGAGAGGAGGGAAAGGTATTTCATTGCAATAGGTAAGTGTGTTGGTGTGTTGTAGGACTGAGGAATTTTGATTCAAATGTACTATAGAGAAAATGGAATCCTTTAGGACTGCTCCTCTGCTTTTCTCATTTCTTGTATTTTCCCCATGGTTTCAATTTTCTTTAACTACAAAATTATAGTAACTCTTTGTTCTTTCATTTTTGCTGTAATTTCTGAAAGATGTTAAAATTGCATTCTCAAATCTTGGAGCTCATACAATCAAAACAAATGGAGTCAAGGGACTATACTTACATTCCGAGAATCCACAGCTGCGTACATGATATCCATCCATCCTTTAAATGTAGCCTATAAACAGAACACAGGTGTTTAGGTCACAATTCTCCTGGAAAATGGCTTGTCAGAAGCATTTTTTAGGAGCTGAAAACTAAGTGTATTTAGTACTCATCATGAAAACCAGTGGAGTGAAATCTTAATAGCTGACTCTTGCCTTCTATTGTATGTTTTATTAATGTACAAGAATTGCAAGCCAGTTCTAATATCTGACTATAGAGGATACAGCATCCATTAAGAACTTTTGTCTATTACGAATAATACCTGGTGTAAAAGTTATTTTTTCTGTGCATGATTATTAGAGGTTTATTTGACACAGATTCAATGCAGTTAAGGTGTATTACGTTTGAATTACATTTTTTTTCTCATAGTCAGTATATCCTCTAGGCTTTATGTTACTTCTTCTGTAGAGTCATGAATTTATCCCATACTTCATGACTCAAATCAAGAATTGAGAGACAAAATTTCTAAATTAAAAAAAAAAAGAAGTAAAAAACTTTTTACTGTTACAAGTAAACAATAGAGATCTAGAAAGATAAATAGAAATTAAGGACTGGTGACTTACCACTTGGAGCAGAGAAAGGTAACCAAGGCCTACGTTGTCAAAGTTAACCTTCACATTCTTCCACCGGGCAGTTTCATTGTTTTGTATGAGCTCCTCACATTGACTAAAGTTGTTAATTTGGCTGATATCAAATCTCTCATCGGTTGTAGTGTTAACACAGTAGTAAAACTTTCCAGCAAATAGATTTACTCCCATGATACTAAATATCAGCCAGAATATAAGGCAAACAAGAAGCACATTCATAATAGATGGAATTGCTCCCAACAGGGCATTCACCACAACCTGGAGTACAAATGAAACCGAAGAGAGACACTGTAAGAGCACCGGCACCAGGATTTTACAAATGCTTCATCAGCCTCTCTCACATGTAACATGCTATTATAATTCTAATATCCGTGTTACACTTCAATTGTTGAGAGCAACAAATCAGAAAAGCAGTGTCGAGAAAAGTTAAAATGCCAAACTTAATTTGAAGGAAAAATACAAATAGTAGCAAGTAAAGAATGGGTAAAATAAGAACCGGTAAAACAAAATAAAAACCGGTAAAACTTTAAAAAAAAATAAAGGAAAAAGAAGTATTTATCAGTGCTTTTTAGAATATTTACTTAATGTATATCTGCAAAACCATAGCAATTATAATCACTGTTGAATCAAACAAGCCAAATTTTCAATACTATTGACTGATATTAAAATGTTTACTGGATAAATTCAAGCAAGTTCAAATCTATTACTGAGCAATTTTCTAATTGAAATTAACTTTGAGTCTTTTTAAAAATAAAATCAAGTGATGTATGCATGTTCCTTTGGATGTTTACATTTAGAATTAGAAAAGTAGAAATGTTCAAACTAGGAAAGCTACTGAGTACCTGAACACACCAGAGCTGTGTTCAGGCAACTGGCAGATAAAACTTGAAAAAGAGACTTGATTTAATTCCCAACCGAATTTTGGGAAAAATAAGGCTTCAGGAAAGAAAAATGTGAAAATGAGTTCATGTGTGATGATGAGCCATGATTAAAAACATGCTAGAATGAAAATAAAACACTGAGGAAATAAAATTTGGGAGAAAGTAGGTCCATTATGAATGAGAATTATTAATTTAATGATGGAATTGATGATGCTAAATTATTGAATTCTAATTTTAAATCTCTCTGTAAATAACTCTAAGAATATAAAATTTGGTAAGTATAGAGCACTGCCACCAACTGAAGTGGCAACTTTGCCAAAACAACTGAAGCAGATCCTTAAAACTTAAAGTTTGCTTTTTTTTTTTTTTTAATGCAAAGCAGTAGCTATTATTTTGATGGGCTTTTTTATATTTCATTTAGCTTATATGATGTAAGTACTAGGGCAGATCCTCTAGCATAATAAACGTATTGTTTCTGTATGAAATACAAATATGTAGTGAAATTCTATAGAATCAATTAATAATAAAATTATTCAGGTAGATGGGCTTTCATTCCTTGCCCTCTTACAGAACAGAAAATAAACCCTTCGAATATTAGCTAGGTGATGAACCACCATCATGTGCATTATAAAGGAGAATTGGGTGAAGGAAAGGAGGGGTTCCTGTTGTACTTTCAGAGCCCTATTCCTGTCAAAACACTACCTCTTTTCAGTGATACATACTTTGGACAACATTTGAGAGCCTATAGGACTTCAGTGAAATTGTTGTTATATTTAAATTTAGAAACTGGATCAAATGAAGTTGCTTTCAATGTAAACTACTTAATCACTCTATAACAGCACAAAATAGTCCATGAAGTCCAAATATTCCATGGTTTTTTTTGTTTGTTTGTACCTTTTTCCCACATATTGTAAATCAAATGTTTTAATAAGTAGTTATTTCTAGTGGGGAAATTTAAAAGAAATCAGAATAGTTTCTTAATCATACTAAAAATCTTCTTAGCAATAACTCTTATAAATTAATAAGCAAAAGTAATATAGAATTTTATAAGTCAGCATCTGGGTTGAGAGGATTCCCTAACTGGTGGATAAATCTCTTCTGAGATTTATGTCTTATGTTGACAAGCTTGTACTCAGCACTGTGAACCACATGATTGCAGGAGACCATAAGACGTTGTTTGACCTAAGCAAATGAACAGCCTATATAACTATGCTGAATTAGTTCAAATTGGAAAATCATGTACTCACTTATTTTTACAGCAATTTGACTGGAATAACAAATGGCAAGGTCATTTTTTCCCAATTTGAGAATATTTTCCAAATATATTAGTTTTTTTTTTAATTGAAAGTTATCGCAATTCTTCTACTCAAAAAATAGAAGTAGATTTCTTAAATGCAATAATATCATCCACCAGGAACAATTCTTGAGATATAAAAGGATAGTTAATGAAGTGAAAATATTTGTCCTCGAGCTTTCAGTCTCAGTACACCCAAGAATTCTGTTCCTCTTTGTGCTGCAGCTGCAGGTCCAGTCATGTTCTTTCTTTAATTGCTGGATTTCTGCAGCTGACCTACTTTCTCTGGTATTAGTCTGAGTCCTGAAGCTACAGAGAACCAGCTTGTGATACGAATATTTGAAGACGCTCAAAACATGCAGTTGAACATCACTGGAAACACTGATCCCAACACTTTCCAGCTTCCACTAGTAGTAAGTCTGTGAGAAAAGGGGGCTAGGCCTGACAGCAAATGAAAGCAGGGGAAGCATAAGAAAGACATCAAAGCCCTTGTTTTCTAGTTGAAAGAAAAAGGTAGCACCATATAGCAGTGAGTGATACTGCTTGGGACAGAGCACGGGCAGATTAATTATATTCCCACAGGCTATTTTAATGAAGTACCAAGTGCAAATTAACTTTCCTAGCAATAACAGTGGTGGGAAGATTCAGGGAAAAAAAAATAATGTTTTTCATGGGGCAATTTTTTTCTATTAATTACTAGTTTGAGTGGGCACAAGTCTAGATCCTAGAAAACAGTACAGTGTCTTAAAAACTGTACATGTATTGAATAGAATTTCCTGCTTGCATATGGGAAGTGTAATGCTCAATGGAAGTCATTTAAGTGTCTATGTAAATATATGCATTGTACTGTACTGTCATATTTTCAGTTCATACATGATAAACACCAATGGAATGATTCTGTTATGAACAGACATCTTGAATTTCCATGTATCAGACATTAAAACGTTCTCATACTAATCTCTTCATCAACTTGAGCTACTGTATCTTTAAAAATGCTAAACTTGGAATTAATTACTTTAAATAAGGCAAAATTCACTACATCCATTGGAATATTTCAATGGTTAATTGCCTAACTAAGTTATAGGTCACATTTCTAGTCTTAAGTAATCTAACTTCATCTACTACTTTTTATTGCATTTTTTTGCTAAACTCATAAATCTTCTCCTCATCTGGGTATTGTACAAAGAGATACAGTTGGCAGTTCAGGATCAAATCCGTAGGTAAAGTTTACACCAACATGGAAGTCATGGGATTGGCAATTACACATAAACCTTCATTACAAGGTTACTTGGTTTTTCCTTGCAACAATAAATTGCCACTTAAGCAATTTTATATAAAATTTGAAATATTTTTATTGTGGGTTTTTTGTTTTGTTAATTGCTGGCATAAAAGAAACCCCTACAGTTCATATGATTTTAGTGAGATAATACTGATGCTTTAGACAGGCCTTACCTCTGATATAAACATCCCAATTTTCAAATTTGTTTTAGTAAAGGTCCAGAAATTTTTTGGAGGCAAAGAAATGCTATTTCGTGTTTGAATTTATAACATTTCATCAAAGTAAATTTCCTTTTTCATTGAATCTCTTCTCTTACTTTCCACATACAGAGAGCATGACATTTTCTTCAGAAGCTCACCAGTTTGTAGTTGACTTACAAATAAGCTAATCAGCTTATCACCTGGGGTGGCAAAGAATAGTGATCGCAGGAGGGAGCTCACCCAAGGATCCCTTTTAATTATGGCAGGAGGGTTCCAGTTCAGGTGCATCTGCTGATACCCACTATGGCAGTATGTCCAAGAGAGACAGATGGACCCTGAAGGTGTAAGCCAGACATCTTCCTGTGGCTGGAGCTAGAAATATCTACCGTGTCTGGTTGTTCACTGCTACTCTTGAGAGAAACATTTCTAGAGCTTTTGAGTCTTGGCTGCATACATCAGGTCTTTGTCCATATCAGTGCACTAAAGAAGTGATTTAAACTGACCACTTTAACTGACTTTGCACTGAGATAGAGTGAACGTGCCCTGCTGGGCAGCTGAGGGTCTCGGCTGTGGTAACTGATCCAGTGATAATGAACAGCTGGGGACAGTAACTTCTCAAATATACCAGCAAAAGTCTAATATGTTTTCAGGCTGCTCAGTGCTCTATAGATTATAATCAAAATTTTACAATCAATATAGAAAGCAGTAAGCAACCAGAAATCATAAAACCATCCATATGCTAGAAAAGTTTTCTTAAATAGAATGCTATGGTTCTAATATGAAAGAGAGAAGATATTTTAATAGTGCTAATTTACTTATTAACACACAAATTAATTACAAAACTTTTAGTTCTAAAAGACATTCCCAATTTATATATACTGAATAATATGTTAAATGATATAGGCTATGTATGATAGTCTAAACTGGTACAAAATACACATGTGCTTGCATACATGGGTGTATGTACACACTCTTTTAAGAGGAAGTGTTGGAGCTTTTTTAAACTGTTCTGACTATAGAAGGTTGTGTTTGTATAGGATAAATGCAGTAATATTGCATAGATCCATGCAGTTGATAAATCCTTGGGCCCTCCATGAAAATATGAAAATGGGGAAAGGCCAAGGAGCATTGTTAACTGTAACAATATGTGCCATAACACATGAATTCATATAAGCAGATGAAGCCTTTTGCTTATATGTTAGTGATAAATGTGAAATATATAGGATGGTAGTGTAGCATTTCTGCATGGATTGGTCGTTGATTATTCTGCATGCATTGTTTCCGTGGATGCATGCATTATTTCAGATTCTTTCATGTTGTCTTACCCTCATCCCTTCAAATCGCGACAAGGCTCTTAGAGGTCTCAAAGCTCTTAGTGTCCTAAGGGATTTAATCGCACCAAGTTCTGAGTAGCCCAAGGCATTAGCTGTTAAGCTAACCAAAGAGACCTACACAAAAACAGAAAGGCAATATTGCTCATTCATCTGTATATCCTTCTGATACATATGGTGGGAATGATGTGCGCCCTGAACTTCTCAAGAAGATTCAAGGCTGGACCTCTTTCTCCAGGAAACCCTCTATAATGCAGAAAAAATTTACGTCAGACAAAGTAGAATAAAATAATATTCTAGGTACCTGTTGATGAAATCATGTTGATAGAATGGTATAAAAGTGCCTTCTATAGTCACATAAACCAGTCAACATTTGGTGGGATTTAAACAAAAATGAAGTCACATGCAAAAACAAAACACCCAAAAACTGGGTGAATTGGAATGGACAATTTAGGTCAGGACTTCCCATGATATCTTCAGAACTTGATGAGAATACAAATGCTCTCAAAAACCACTTCCAGACCTTGCTTTTGGTCAAATGTAACTTTCTAGTGTCCAGAAAATCTTATTCAACAGCCATAGCTACCAGTGCTGTTCAGATTTAACCGGACTAATCAAGACTGAGAACCAAGTGTTTGTTAGACAATGGTAGAAGCTTCAGTGTTAGGCATATCCATACTTCATTACATTCCCTGTGACTCCTTTAACCACTTCATCAATTCTGGCTTGCATAACGCTGGTCTGGTCTGCAGGCAGATGAGTAAATAAACTAGAATAGCTGTAAAATAAATAATACAATTATCTTTCATCAATAATCCTTGGAAATGTATTTCTAATAGCCATTGGGAAGGAGTGGCCCTAATAAATCAAAAATAAATCATCTTCTATTTATGTCCATTTAATGCCCTTCCCTTCCATCCTTCCTGTTCTCTCAATTCTTTCATCTCCAAATTGTTCTTTTTGATTTTTTATTTCAATCTCCTGACTATAGATTAAAAAGAATGATTGAGATATTAATTTTTTAATTAAAAAATTGCACCAAGGTAAGGTTGACATGAAAAACTAATAAAGTTATTTATAAGGGTCACAGAAGTAACTAAACCACAGATTATCCAATAAGAATTAAATATTTGTTGATAAATACAAGTTCTCCTGGTCATGGCAATGTACACATCAGATGATTGAGCCAATACATGTTTTACAGAGGTACAGACTCAATCATAAAATACTATATGAGTATATAGTCATGTCTTATCATAGGATTTGCAATGCTGGTCTGGATTTACAAGGTATAGTGTTTTCCAATGTCTCTATAGTAAAGACCTCCTGATCTATCACTGTAGTTTTAGGGATATATTTAGCAATTTCTATAGAATTCTGGTGCTTTTTGTAATGTGCAAATAGGTGGTTTAAGACATACTCTTAACTTGCATTCCATAGGAATTACATCTGTGGAACTGAGAGGTAAGTCAGACTATACAGAATTATAAACCATACCGCCACAGCAGTTAAAACAGAGTTTTTGTTGAATAGAACAGAAATCTTATCCTTAAAACAAAATATTCTTTTTTTTCAAGCCTGTTGTACAAGACATGAAAAAGAATACATACATCAACAATCAGGAAGTCCAGCCAGCACCATGCATTAGTGAAATAAGTTTGAAAGCCATAAGCAACCCATTTTAAAAGCATTTCCAGAATGAAGATATAGGTGAAAACTTTGTCAGCATATTCCAGCATGGTCTTGATAGTTTTACGTTGTTCTATGTAGATATCTTCAAATGCCTGGGAAAAAGATTTTTGAAGATATAATTAAATGTCTTCACAATTTGCAGTGTCATATAGGAATGGCCAGGAAAAAAATTGAATTGAAAAAATATACATGATGATAAGGCATGTATCTTTCCCTCAAGCATAACTTTGGCTTTCACTTAATACTTTTTGTAAGGCTGGGTCCAAACAATATTCATCTTTCAGCTGAACTGAACAGCAATACACAAAACTTACTGTAAGACCACTCTTCAAACTTAATTTTAATTTATTTCCATGGATAATGTTTGTGTAGCCAGGTTTTGGTAGTGGGGGGAGCTAGAGGAGTGGCTTCTGTGGGAAGCTCCTAGAAGCTTCCTCCCTGTCCAGCAGAGCCAATGCTAGCTGGCTCCAGGACAGACCCACCAGTGGCTAAGGCCAAGCCAATCAGGAATGACAGCAACGCCTCTGTGACAATATATTTAAGAAGGAAATAAAAAAAATATTGCAGAGGCACAATTGCATGTAGAGAAAGTGGAGTGAGAACATGTGAGAAGAACAGCTCTGCAGATACCAGGGTCAGTGGAGGAGGAGGGGCAGGAGATGCTCCAGGTACTGGAGCTGAGATTGCCCTGCAGCCAGCAGAGCAGATAATGGTGAAAGAGCTGTGCCCCTGCAGCCCATGGAGATCCCCCTGCAGCCACTGGAAGAGCCCCACGCTGGAGCAGGGGTATGCCCAAGAACAGGCTGTGAACCTGAGGGAAACCCATGCTGGAGCAGGCTTCTCACAAGGACCTGCAGACCATTGAGAGAGGAGCCTGTGCTGGAGCAGGTGGCCCAGTAGGACTTGTAGGACCAGGAGGACTGGATCAGGCTGTGCCTGAAGGACTGTACTCCATGGAATAGGGACACACATTGCAGCAGGTTTTGGAGAACTGTTGCCTGTGGGATGGACTGACATTGGAGAAGTTCATAGAGAACTGTCTCCCCATGCTGGAGTAGGGGAAGGACTCCTCTCCCTGAGCAGTGGCAGAAACAATGTGTGATGAACTGATCATAATGCACATTCCCTGTCTACCTGCACTGTGGGAGGAGGACGTTGAGCTGGGAAGGAGGGATATGGGGTGAAGGTGTTTTTAAGATTTATTTTACTTCTCATTATCCTGCTCTGATTTTGTTAACAATAAATTCAATATATTAAATAAATCCAATAAATTAAAAATAAACTGTTAACAATAAACTCAGCCTAGGGAGGCTGAGTCTGTTTTGCCTGTTACAGTGTTTGATGGCTGATCTCTCCTGGACTTATCTCAACCCATGAACCCTTCTTTCTCCTGTCCACATGTAGCATTACAGAGCACCTTTGGTGGGTATCTGGCATCAACTCACTACTGATAGCAAGGGCTTATTGACATTAGGATTTCCTTTGTGGGAGTTACAGATTTATATTACAATTTTATGAGGGATTTAAAAATGACTGTGTGATACAGTATTTTTTGAGGAAGAATTGAAACTAAACTATGCATACTAACTCACAAAGCAATCCTAAATAGAGATAACTGTCTTAACAAAAGAAAATGTATACATTGACAGTGAATCACTGTGCATTGAGCCAAGTGTAGAAAGAATATTATATTTTGTCCCTGCTATGAGAAACTAATTATTTCAATACCTACTCAGTGCACCTGATTTAACACCAATCTGTAAAATATCTGATGGAATTGTGTTGGCACCTTCCTCCTCAGTTTGACAATTTGAGTTGCTGCTGATAAATTTGTAGCTCAGCTGTGTTTTTATTCAAAAGTGTGTTAAAAAAAGAAGCTATTATCATCAATATTAAGACATGTGAACACCAGTCTGATAAAACTAATTTCTTATTTCCATTAACACTATATTTTGAACTTGCCAAACCATTTGTTTCACAGCCCACAAGCAAATTCTTACATGTCCTACAATACTTGCAGATAAATATTTATATTAGAATATACATTAATTGGATATCAAATTCTAATTTGTTACCTGTAGGTATGTGATTAACTGTAATTTTAAATGCTTGCTGTTTAAAATCACAATAGCCACAATAGTTCCACACTTAATTTACCAGAGCACCACTGCTGAGAAGAATCATGAAGACTATGAAGGTCTCAAACCAGTTGTGTTCAACAATCTTATAGCAGGTTTTCCTAAGATTCCACCAGATTTTCCCCTTTCCTTCTTCTACACTGACTTGACAGCATTTGAATCTCCGTACACACCCTAAATGTGATAATAAATTTTGAGATGTCAGAATAAAGTAAATATTTATTAGGAATCACAATGAATGGTAATCATTTGACTTATTTCTTATCATAGTGCTACTGCATTAGATCCTTATAATTCCTCTTTAAGCATTTTTATTTAGTATTTGAATTTAATCTTCATATATTTCACAATACCTTCCAAAGAAAGAGAGAAAACACACAAGGACAGTAAGTCTATGGCAGTACCTCTGAAAGAGTTACTAATACTAACAGATATTACAACTATAATCACTAAACTTCTTTTGATTTTGAATAAAAAGAGAATCCTGCCCAAGTCTACACAACTAGGTCTATTTATCTTGCCTTTATTTTGCTTTGCCTACCTTCTGTGAAACAAGCTTCTGGCTCTAGAACTTCTTCTGGTTCTGCTTCTGGCTGTTCACCTTCTGGAGGTAGTCCAATATCAACTGTGCTGCCTTCTGATGAACTGGATGCATTCAATTTCTGTGAACGAAACCCCACATTATTTTTTTTTCAGTTTTATTATTTTGAATAGAAATTTATGTTGGAAATGTATATCAGAATATTTTGAATGTATTCAGTGCTGTGATACTAAAATAACTTCTTATCTACAATTTATAAAGCCAAATTGCTCTACTACAGGTGAGGTCACAAGATTAGAAACTACATAACGTGCATTTTCCCTATTGAAAATATTTTGATATTTTCATACAAGGAATTGCTGAAATTACTAGAGTATTATTCTGAGCCACACATAAGAATTTTGAAGTGAAATTTCAGTAAGCTAAGAATGGGTGTTTTCCACATTTTGTACTGTTTAATTATTCCAATCATGTGGCTGCATTTTAGGTTACACTTTAGATAGCATGTGTTAAAACAATTAAATTTCCAAAATCATGACCAAACCAACAGCAAGCTGCACAGATGTATTTTCATGCCTCAAGTAAATATTATTCTAGCAAGTCTGTAAAAAGCTAAGTCAAAAGTTTTATTGTAATGTTTTTACTGACATGAAAACACATGTTATGAGTTTTATAGGATAATTTAATTATCTTTATTTCCAAAAGAGCAGCACATTACTTTAGGAGCAGTAGCTGATATTTTGCATACTCACTTGCCAATGCATTTTCTGAATTTATTGTGCATTTTGAAGCTACTTATTACTTTGGTACAGTACACATAGATGTCCAATTACTATAAAAGGCCAAAAAAAATTTCAATGACTACAGTTAAAACAAACTCTTTTAAAACAATATTGTAAAAAAATAATACTGCATCAATAAATCATACGAAAATTATAATCCAAACCTTAAAAGTTATTCTTTCACACCATCATATGATGCTGGCAACAGACAAATATGAGTACTATAATAAGTAAAAGTAGTTTGATTACAGCATTCTATGACTCTTCTAATGTTATCACTATGTGGAGTATAACATCAGTAAAATGGCTGCATTGATAAGTAGCTAATCTTATAAAGGGAATGATGTAAGCAGATTTAGAATAGAGTCTATAAGGAATTAATATTAGACAGAGATGTTCTATGATAACATTAAAGATATATATTTTTGCTGACACTTAAATCTGAAGTTAGAGGCATTATTCCTTTAAAACATTTCTCAGTAGCTTCAAATTCTATACAGTTTTTTGTAAAGGAAATATAAACAGTATTATTCTGTGGACATAGAAAGTCACTTGAGACATTTAATGGAATTTTACATAGCAACAAATATTCAGTATGTTCTTCAAACAAAAAGTAGATTTATTCCTTTCTCCCCCATTCTGATTCTACTGAATCACACTGACAATATATTCTGTTGTGATTCTGACATAAGCTTAACTTTGATTTTTGTGTACCATGGTTCACTACAGAGCACATTTCAAAGGAAGGCTGAGCAAATGGAAACATGTACTGGAGGGTGTATTATACACTTAGTTTCAGTGATATCTGCACATGCCTTTCATCTATGCTTATTTGAATTTCCCAGCTTAGACATTCATGTCTCATATTTCTGCATGAGTTTTAACATCTATTGAGGTCAGGTCCAATGTACAAAGAGATGGATCCACACTTTTCTGAAGATTATTATTGACAAATTTCATATTGCAATGTGTTTGAATTATAGATAATGCATGGCAGTTTGGTCAATGTGGAATACTGCCTCTAAAATGGAGAAACTAGAAAGTTTGGGATAAATACTGTAGTCATCAAGTAAGGACCACAGCATTTAAACATTAGTGGAAGTCAATCATCAGTTTGAGGAAAAGCCAGAAATACCATAAATGGAAGGTACACTAAAAAAATTACATATGGTGTTAAAAATTACCATTTATCAATACAATACATTAAATCATTTTTTAAACTGAGAAGTGACTGTTTTTATTACATAGTGTTTTCTTACAATGTTGCTTGCATCATTCCAATCTGGAGAGCGTTTCTAGCAGAATGCTGTAGTAGTAGCAGAGCAAACAAAAATTATGAACTGGCTGAACCGTAAGTTTGAAAGACCTACTGTCCATTCTTTTACAGGAAAAGTAAGAGTTCAGTGTCTCAGATATTATGCAGTTAGTTTAATAAGCAAAAAAGGATAATGAATTCCTATTACTAAAATTGCTTAAGAATAACAGTTAACTCAACATGGAAAATTAGATATAGCTACTATAAGGAGAGATCACTAATATCAGATAGAAAGGTAAAAAATTATCAATAGAACCGTAAATTATCAGGAACATCAAAAAGACAACTTTATTTATGTGGGGCACTATGTATGGTGCCCCACATAAAAAGATGCATCTTTCAAGTCTCTTCTCACTAAAAAGCTGCTATGCTTCATTTACAGAGCTGTAACAATAATCAAAGGAGTTAAACTGAACAAAAAAATCCTAAATTGAATCAACAGAAGCTGATACTTGAAATGCAACAATTAAATGCCTCATCCCACTGAGAACTCAGTTACTCTTCTGCTGATGTAACAGAGTATTTCATTAGCATGCTGCACTATTATACCGGCCCCAAACAGATCAGTATATAAAGAAAAATATTACAAAAATTATTCAATAAACTCAGTCTGTAAGAGTTCAGCATCATTTGGGAAAGAACAAAAACTAGAATTTTTCAACAGTATAATTTCTTTTTTTCATTTTTCTTTGTTATTTTTAACATTTAATTTATTGTATAGCATTATGTACTGCCGTGATAATGTACAAAATTTATAAAATTTAGTATGCATCAGAAACAGCTAGAAAGATTTTATGATACAACATCTCAAGATTTTATCAACTCAATTAAGGTTCAGTATGCTAGGAAAGCTTTCCAGTAACATTTACGTATTTCCACAGCGAACTTATGCTCTGGCATAGAGCAACTGAATCAGGGACTTTGTACTGATTTCTATGTATTCAACACAACATGACCTGGCAATGGATCATGTTACTGCTATCATGTTTAATCATCATGCCTTAATATATAGGAAGATTTTTCTAGCACTCACCAGTGTTCACACATATGGAATCCAGCTGGCTAGCTAGACTACCCCAACTGCAGACCCTGATATGTAGCATATATCCCAGTTCTTTCCTAAACATATCTGAAAGTTACCTTTTTACCTGGCAATTTGCTCTCTGCTTACCAGCATTACAAAAAACTAGATTTAGGCTGTTTACTTATATAGCTTGTTTAAAAAATGAACCTATAGAAAGAAGATAATAAACAAACCCAAGCATAAGCTTTGATCTAATAGTAAGTCCATTTTAAGCTTTTTGTTATTCCATGAGTCTAGATTCAGTCATGCAGATTATAAGAGACTTATCAGAATCAAGCATTAGACAGTCTTTGAGAATTATGAAGATATAAATTTTCCAAATAGTATGCTAAGAGAATTATTCTCAAAGAAATCTGTTTTTCAAAACCCTAGAATGTACATACTCTACCTCCTTTTCGAAGAAAACAGTAAGGGGACAAAAATAGTTACATGTTTCTAAAACAGCAGTATACTGATTATCCTAGAGATTTAATTATCTTTTACATCACATGTACCAACAGCCTTGCCAGTCATGCTTTAGTCAGCAACACACAACAGAATTAGAAACAGATTTTCATTAAGCTTTCAAGATAGGAAAGCAGCTTGCCTACCAGAGAAGCATTGCAAAAAGCAGCAGCCAAGATTAGGTCAGGAAGTTTTTGACATAATTACTTTCTGAACCTTGACAACATCGCATAGATTCATACAATTCTGCTTCACTTACAGCCAGGCCACTTCTAACATTTCTTTGTTTGTTCCAAAGATGATTATCTGAGAGTAGTTGGACAGCTCTTAGCTTAACATTTTTAACAAAGCCTGAAATTTCATGATTAGCCAGGATGCCACTAATAGATGTTGAAGTCATAATTTAAGGGATTGAAGGAGCAAAGAGCAGAACAGACATAAGCAGGAAGATGGTGCCAAGAGAAACCACCAATTCGATATTGTTTTCAATTTTCTTTCCTCCTAAATACCTGTGAAAACGCTAAATAATGGAAATTAAATTGGTTTTATTTTCTCAGTCTTTGTGGATGTCAGTATGAAAATGAAATATTCTGTGATATAAATGGCAATATGATATCCAAACTATCCAGTCTTTTTCAGTATGGCTATATCACCTACAAAATCTTCAAAGTGATGGATATCATTGTGATTCCACTGGTGCAAGTAAGTGGAATCTGGATTTAACTCTTTCTAATGCTTATACAGTTAGGCAGAATAACTAAGTGTAAAAATCCAGATCACTGTAAATCAAAGCAAAAGAATTTTGGGGTGATTATTTGTTGCAAATACTGCAAATCCCCAGTATCTCTAAATTATAGTCCACTCTGGACTTTATGGATATTCATAATTCCTTTGATCTACTTATTAATGAGAATTTATTAAATGAAAATATTTGCAAAAATAGTTGTATGAAAGCAAAAGCATTTTAAGTAGCAGTAGAAATATGCTCCAGTGGGAAAAAGATCTACCACCAGAACCTACTTTAAAAGCCTCTTTAATTCGTACAAGCAATAATGAAAGGATATTTCTGAAATAGAGTAAGGAACTGCTGTTTGCAAATATTAGTTAAGCAAACTTCAGTTAACTCTCACAGTAACAACTTCCAAATATCATATCATATAATATCATATCATATCATATCATAACAATATCATCCACAGTGAATCACAATATGCCAATACAATTCTACCAATTCACAATACAAAGCCTAAATTCTTCAGACCATTTTAAATAATGAATATTTTAAATCAAAATACATCTTATCAAAATAATTATTCTTTAAAAAATATAAGAGGAAAAGCTCTGGAACAAGTATGGTTTAAGTCCACTGATTTACAAAACTGAAAGCAGCAACTGTGGTGCTGTAAATATTATGGCATTGTTTAATAGGTGAGATGTAAATCACAATGAAGCTGAGCAACTTCTGCACATTTTGATCCAAACTCAGGAGTTTATTTACTTGAATGCTAAACTTTGTCTATTACTGATGACATGAGAATAACTTTAAGTTTCTCAAGGCAGACAATTTTAGCTGTTTGGGGAGGTAATAATTTTTTGACCATAAATTAAAGAGCTATAAGATTGAATTGGGCCTCATCTTGCAATCAGTGTTCTCTTTGCACCTCGACACCTAAGTGTGAGCGTAAGTAAGAGCAGAACTGATCTCTGAATATTTAACCAGCCAAATAACAGTTTTGTATGAATTCTTTCAACTAAATTATGGTTACATGCTTTGACTGCAGAAATTAAATTAATTTCATGCTTAATGGTGCTCCAACTACTGCATATTAATCTCCAAAATAACTAAATGCTTATACAAGAACTAAAGAAAAGCACTTCTAAAAAAAAAAAGTGAAAAAGAAAAACATGACTATGATGAGTTTGCAGATTACCTCCATTATATGTTAAAATACATTAATATGAAAGTTTTCTAAAACAGCTAGCAGCTTTTCATTATCAACACAATTTACAGATGGAGTTACATATAAATATAAGCTTCTGATGAGAAATGTGGCATATGTGTTACATATTCTGCCTTCCTTCAAAGCAAAAGAAAACCCTTCAAAAACAGAATCCTGAATTCCATATCATCAAGATTAGGAGAGGTACATAGCATGCACTGCAAAATACTATTAAAGTATTATGGAGAGGATCAGAACCACAGAAATCCTGGCGCTGCCGCTCTTGCCTGACCATGCTGTGATGCGAGTCCCGTGGCTCAGCAGGGAGCAGCTGTGCATGTTGGTACTTATTGCAATGAATGGGACAGGATCATAGCTGAAGAGCATGCAGGCCAGTCAATATCGGCTAGAAGGTGATTAAATAGGATATAGAGAGATGTATAACTTGCTTTGGTAACCTGTGTAAAACTGGTGACACGATGCTCTGCCTCGCTAAAAGGCACCAGAGCTGCCCGCTTGACTGATCCAGCTTGGTTCTACTCCTGTGAGAAGTAAGAACGGTAGGAAATGAAGTTCAGGACACAGCACCTCTGGTTTTTGCACTGAATATTGCTTACAGTAAAATATACATTATTAGTGTGTCTGCAACAGCATTAGGAGAGCCCATTTTCTTCAAAGCATTGAAAAATATTTTGTCATTGGCATATATTGGTGTTATTATTGGCCTATAAGTTGCATTTAACATAATTATTACCCGCTATTATGATTATTTTAACTAATTATTATACATTCATACATGTACTACAAAATTTTCCATATAAACCATCCTCATAGCACTTTAAAACATGAAATGGAAAAAAAAAAATGTCGGTTCTACACTAAATACCAGTACTGCAGCTCAGATCCACAGACCTTTATTGATAGGACAATGGGCTCAGCACAGTGTTACCACAATTATTAATGGCCTACTTCCATGATAAAGTTTTATTTAGTATTTGTTCTCTAATTTCCTTATTATACTGTATTCACCCACTGACATTCTTAGGGACAGAGTGTTTTTATAGTTAAATTTATTTTAGGTTTCAGTAACTTTCTAGAAAATTCCTTGTTCATTCATACCTACTAAGCATGTACAACATTTTATGTATTGTTTCTAAAAATGCATAACCTAGTTAACATTCCTATCAAACTACTGGAAAGATACATGTGCTATAATACAGAATTCACTAAACATTAACATGCTTAATTAAAACTTGCTAAGAAATAATAATTATTTTGTTGGAATTCAGCTTATTGCCCTATACAATAGTGAATACATGGACTTGGTTGTAGACACAGAAGCAAGCAGAAGCACACAGACACACTCTCATCAGCATCTGGCAATCTTGCACAGTGTCCTCACAGCACCTGGATGCCTCAGCTGCCTTTCATCTGCAAATCTGCTAATTGAATGCAGTTTGATGGCAGTTCCTGACTTAGATTTTTTCATTTGTGGTGTAAGCAATGAAGTGACTGGCAGATCAACTTGGCAACAGCAGTATCATATAAACAGAAAAACATGAGTGGCCAGAAATGCAAGGCACATTATGGCATGGCAAAAATAAGGAAACCTTATAAAAAAGCCATTTGTAGTCAATTTTTGAATTTAAAAAATGCTTTTTTTTTTTCCTATGGATCATTTTCTTTACAAGTGTTGGTCATCTGACTAATAAGCCAACACTCCACTATATCAAAAAACCACGGTGGTTGAGTATCAAGTGAAGAGTAGGAACTAGGATTAAGATTTTAATGCTTTTGTGTCACACTTCTGTGACTCAAATCTACTTGAACTTTAGGCACTTTCCTAAGAAATATGCTCACAATCTTTGCTCACTGCTGTGTCTCTCTTGAAAATCCCTGAAACTAATCAATATTCCCTTCACTTTTTCACCTTTATCATTTGCATTAGTAAGAAATGTTGGCCCCGAATACTCAGCAGAGTTTCAGACTTGGCCAGTTGAAACTGCTTGACACTAGCTCACCTTTGACTTAATTTGCAGTTTCTGAAGCACAACAGCATTAAAAGCCTCCAAGAATGCAATGAAGACACTGTTTTCTTTTAAATATGGTAGGTGGTATAGAAAGCCTTTCTTTTATGGTGGAAGTTTAATGACTGGAGTTCATGCCTCAAATGTGGGATAATCCACTTTAAAACTTTTCCTACAGGAAGTCAATATTTCTGTCATCTTGTAGAATAACCCAATGAGGGTCCTTCCATGGGAAGAAAAGAAAGTTTTGGCTAATGAAAACAGTCAGCAGTCACATCATCCAGTTATACAGTGAAGTAAGAGATGCACCATTGTCTTACTCAGCCCTGGTAACCACCAGCACAGAGGTTTGTACAAAGCTCACCCTCCACCTCTCCTACTGACATAGTGCTCTTGTGCAATGAAGAACAGAACAATTGAAGGTTAAACTTCAACTGATTTGTTCTACACCCAAGTACTGGTTTTGAAGAGTAAGATAAATATTAATACAATCAATCTGAAAAAAAATATTTTTATAAGAATAATAAAGACATTTGTGATAAGAAACAAGAAAATATGACTAAATGTGTAATGCAGTTGGTAAAAAACTGGATCTCAAGTAGAAAATTACTAGAATCTTACCCATATTTATACTCTCAGATTCAAGTAAGAGAAAATGAAAGCCTTTATGTTAGTTTATGTGTACCCCACAGCATGCAATACTGTTCAAAAATACCCATGATAATGCTGAATGTACTGGCATCAGTACTAAGCATAGCATACACTTACTGCACTTGAGCTGATGTGCCTTCACCGCTTTCAGTCGTGCAGGACAAAGCAGTGGGTTAATAATACAAACACAATAATAATGCCTTGGCATCCACTACAACTCTCAGTGCTAGGTTGGATTTATCCACTTGGCACCACCTTGTGCCAGAAAGAGGTACATTTTATTAGTCACAGTAGGTAACAGGTTCAAATATCTTAAAGCTTTCAAAACAACGAGTAGTCAAATGAAAGGATCTTATACTAGGATATTAAGCTTTGTAACTTTTTTTCCATAAGGCGATCACTTCAGTGGTTCTGCTACCATCAGATAGATTATTAGTGATTTATTTAGCATTGTTTAGTGATGCTAGTCTAGTATTCAAATGTGCCTATCTATGATGTACATGGATGCATTTTGACTATATAAAAAAGGTTAAAAACATCAGAATGAGCTGTTAAAAAAGCAGATTAAAAAATAAACTGCTCACATTAAATAAACATGGAGAAATTTGCTCCAGCCATACACACTTCGTATGACTTCTGGTATCCAGGAATATTAAACTGTTAAGGATTTAACTAAATAAAATAGAAAAAAATATTAATTTTCTAAAACCTTTTCTTACGTATCTTGATTGTTACTGTAAATGCAATATTGTATTACCATCATTCAAAACTCACAACCTTACATCAATTTACCTTAAATAACATTACGAGTTTGTATATGCTATTGTAAAAGAATAAAAGAAAGATTTGAATTCAACACTAGTAACCTCAGGGAAAAAAAAAAACATCAGAGTATTTTAAAGTTAGAAATAAGCTTACCTCTTTGCTTTCTTCCAGGTCTGATTCACTGCTGAACTCCTCTGTGTTTAAATTTTCAAAATCTGATTCTCCAACAGCAATGGGCACTGTCACGGTGAGACTTGGGTTGTTTATGAATGACATGTAATCACTTTCATCAACAACATATTTTTCCACACTGCTGCCTATGCCACTGGTAGTTCCATTCCCGTCTTTGAGATAGGCAAGGTTTTTACCTATATCTACTATTGTATGGTTGGAAATACAGCTGTCTTTTTTATTGTTCAGGTCTTCAAGAGGTTTGATTTCATCTAAAGCTTTCTGTTTTCTAACAAAGGCTTTTTGGATGAATTCACGCACTTTTCTCTTCACATAATCAATGCCTTTCTGAATCCTTGCCACAGCAATCTGGAGATTGTTCATTTCATTATCGTCGTCAGTAGCAGCAAGATTGTCTGAACTAAATGAGCTCAGCAGCAAGGCCAGAAATAGGTTGAGTACCTAAAATAAAATAAGGAAAAAATTGCTCTTATTTTTAAGTCATAAAAGAAATGTCATTAAAAGTTTTTCAATATGAGATAATTTTTATTTCACATGTAACACTTTATTTCTATGCACCTTCCTGCTATTCTTTTCACTTCATAATCCCTGTCCCCAGCATTTTATTATCTTGCCAAAAGCACTTTTAGCTGGTTTGACTTCACTAATACAGGTAAAATCTGAGCTGTTCCTTGACTGTCTCCTCCACAATCTGCAGTAGTTCAGATCTGCTCCTCAAAATGGAGAAAGACATAAAGAGGCAGAATACAACATAATGCAGTGATTTATGCAAGCTACATCCACTGTAGTGCTCATAGGCCAGGGGAGTGCAGGCAAATGCCAGTCTTCTACAGTTCAACAGACCATACCTCTAGTACCTCTAGTACCTTCTAATTCAGAATATAGTAAAATTTTGTATTTGGCAAGTATATATGAGTCTGTCTTGGTCCTGGGCAGGAACACTAGCTAAGCGATAGACTCCACAGATGTGGTACACCTCAGTTTCAAGAAACTATTTCATCTCAATTTCAAGAAGGTATTTCAGACTTTCTTGCAGACATTTTACAAACATACAAGAGAAATTTGGATAGCATGCAATTATGACAGACCATGGGTAAAACTGATTAAAAAACATTTAATTAAAAATCAGATAAATTATATTTGTCAGTTCTTCCTGTTCAAACTTGCAGAATATTTTATAAGATATGCCACAGGACTCACATTAGTCTGGTGAGTGACTTAGTAGTGATGAGCATATTTATAAAATTTGTGGATCATACCAAAAAGAGAAAGATGCCAGCACTCAAGGAGGAAGAACTACAATTATACATAATCATGGTTTATGGCAAGTTGGTGAAATTATTCCAAATCAATATTTTGTTTAATTCTGAAGTACTGTTGTGGAAAGGATTGTTAAGAAAAATGAAATGTATATACACAGAAAGTGTGAAAGCTGGCAAAGTGGAAGCACTGCAGAAAGGAGTGTAGAGGCTGCATCAGGAGAGCAACACTGGTACAGAAAATTCATGTGTCTTTTGGGGATGTACTACAAGGAATGCTGAGTGCAAGAAATTAAAGTATCATTATTCCACATTATTCAGTACTTGTGTCTTTATTCAAAATGTTGCTTGGGAGGAATTCAGAAGCCAATAGCAAAAGGGATAAGCCATTTACAAATCATCACTTATGAGAAAAAAATTGAAGCTTTAAGCTTGTTTTGTTTCCCTAGAGAAATGACTGAAAGTGAAAACAGTAAGCTTTTAAGTATCTTAAATGTTGTCATAAAGACCAGCAGTTTTCCATCAATATTGAGAGAATTTCGTTTACTTGGCTGTAAAAGGTGATTTAAATTAGATGTTTTTTAAAGGCACTCTTAACTGTAAGCATAATTCAGCACTGCTCTTACTAAAGAGGTTATAAACTTACTGAGATTTAAAAGAAAAATAGACAAACACTTTTCATAGATGACCAAGGTATATTTTAACCTGGTGTACAGAAAGGGCAAGTGAACTACATTATTTCCTGAAGTCCTTCTCCAGTTTTCATTTCAGATTTCTAAATCATGAAAAAAAAGAGATATGTCCTAAGAGTTTTAAAAAATCCCCACTGATTACATACCACTAGGTTTCCAATCACCATGACCATCATGAAGACTGTAAGGCACATGGCTTGGCCTGCAACCTCCATGCAGTCCCACATGGTTTCTATCCATTCTCCACACAGCACTCGGAATACAATCAGGAAAGAGTGGAAAAAGTCGTGCATGTGCCAGCGAGGGAGCACACAGTCACTGGAGATCTTACAGACACATTCCTTGTAGCTCTTCCCAAAGAGCTGCATCCCAACCACAGCGAAAATGAACACGATGATGGCCAGCACCAGGGTCAGATTCCCCAGAGCCCCCACTGAGTTGCCAATAATCTTAATCAGCATATTTAGAGTTGGCCAAGATTTTGCCAGTTTGAAAACTCGAAGCTGCAAAACAGAGGAATGGTTCTTTGTTATCTAATTGTAATGAAATTACTGCTATACATTTCATATTTCAGTTACTGCATGTCTACATCATGTCTCTTGTAATCTTTAGAAGTTTTAGTTACAAAATTTCTGTTTCCAGTTCTTTGTACAATACTACACAACAGCAGTGTAAAGTCCTGATTCAAGTGATAAGAAATCAAAAATAATATCTCTATGCTCATTTCAATTACATTGAAATTATCACAAAGACTCCTATTTGGACTTTGACTGTTTTGATGACTTTAGGTATTTATAAAGAAGTTTTACTTGTTAAAGAAGTTGGACAAAACAATCTTTCTCCTGTAAACTCTGAGAAATTATTACTAAAAATAAATGAGCACATATGAAATATGATCAGTTTAACAGGACCATAAGTGTATAGTCTCTTCCAGTTTCTTTCATCTTAACAGTCAGTGAGATGAAGGAAATAGTTTTCCTAAAAAGAGAAACAAGCTAGAGTTGTTAATGACAGACATGAAAGTGACTTGCAAGTATCTTTAACAATATATTTTCTGTCTTTTAAAATAAATGTAATGTGTCTTACAAAGCTTGTCACACAACATTGAGAAAAACAAGGGAAATTATTATATTAATAAGTACAACTTGAAACAGACAAAAATGAAATTATTGGAAAGATACAGCAACTGTTCAGACAATTGAAAGAGAAGAATACTAAAATGAATATAAAACTAAATAGTGTCTCATGTGATTATTTTATGTTTCATCAAGAAAATATGACATTAAAACAACTTGACATAAATGCCAAGTTTAAACCAGAATCTACTACTGAGAGAGAAGTCAATCCAGACAGATTTTAGACTTCAGGCAAAGTACAGTGTAATGCTACGCAGATAACCACAAAAAACTTATTTAAAACCTCTTACTTTTAAAGGGGATGTATTTAACTTTCGTTTCAAGTTAAATATTTTTTTAATTTAAGGCAGAAGTTGATCTTGATGATCAGGAACTCTAGCTTCATGCCTCTCACTGTGTAGGTCTTTTCAGAAGAGTGTTTGGACACTGAATTGCATGCTAGCCTAGTCTGCACGAAGACCAAAGTTTTTCAAGTTCCTGTTCATGAAAGAGATATCTAATAACAGACAGAGACACTGTAGTGACTTCTGAGCAGAAAAGCTGTCAGACTGCAGATAGACCCTTGCAGAGGATGGTACAGAGAAGGCTGGTAGGGATGAAAAGTCCCTGGACAATGAAAAATCTTAACACTACTCTCTTGTAAAACTAACCAATAAAGGCAATTGGTAATGGGAGTTTATAAGCTAAAATTGTCAATAAACTCTTATTAATTAACTCATAATTTACCAAGCAATTCACTGGTCTTCAGTCACAGGTAGTGTAGGCCCTATGACTCTTGAATTTTTTTACTCCCTCATCTAGGGAGAAGACTCTAAGAAATACTTCTCTTAGAAAAGTTAATCTTTTAAGCATACTTTTGTCAAGAGTAGAATTGATGTTAACAATATTTTGAAGGAGAAATAGACATTACCATGACAATATGCAAAACAAACTGGACATAATATATACATGCCATCTAGTGAGTATGCAATTTAGCATTTTATAAGTTCTGAAAACATCTTCTATCTCAGCCAAATATTTAATTTGCAAATGAAAAATGCACAAAATATATATGTACAAATACAAAAATGTAATCTAGAAACATATTTTAAATAGTATATTTACCAATCTGAATGACCGAAGAACAGATAATCCTTCTACATTTGCAAGGCCAAGTTCCATTAAACTAAGACTCACAATAAAACCATCAAAAATATTCCAGCCCTCTTGGAAATAATAATAAGGATCCATGGCAATTATCTTGAGAAACATTTCTGCTGTGAAAATTCCAGTAAACACCTGCAAGGAAAATACAGTTTCTTACTCCAGTTTAGGAAGAGTAAAAGTAAAACTAATGGTATCAACAAGTGCTAAGTTATATTTTCAGGAAGAAATTAATGATAAATCTTAATGTCTTCTCTATATTTCCATACACTGGGGTTAGGAATAAAATTAATATTTGAAGCTTACATATGCATCATAGAGTTTGGGTTACAAATAAAAAGAATGGGAAAATGTGTTTTTTATCTAGCCTGCTAATATGTATGCATGCCAATACACAGAATATAATCTGATTTTAATGCTCATTTTTATCTCCTTAGAGCTCATATTTGCCCTTAAACCATGTTTTTACTTCTAGGAATAAAGATAGTTGTTCCTACCATAAAATTTTTTTATTAACAAGTAATTATACAGAAAGTTGAGCAGAACTGTTCTTCTTCAGGATGACTTATGGAAGACATTGTCATTCCATTTCATAATTTCCTTACATCTGTCATGCTTACTGGGTCTTTCCCCTCTAAAATTCCTTGAACACCCAGACCCTTAGGAGGTACTGGTGAGGAGCAGAAGGGTATGGGAATGGAACTGAAAGTTCTTATCATTTGTAACTATTCATCAAAAAAAAACCCAATTCCTTTAACGAGCTTCAATAACAGAAGATGAAGATTTTGAAAATCAAAGTGCACCTATTGACTCAGTAGATCTTGACTCTGTAAAGTAAGAGTGATGAAATTTGCAAATGTCAACAACTTGAATGTAGGTGCATCAATCCCAAGTCTCTAAATAGTCAACTTTTTATTTTACATGAATGTGCATAAGTCACAAAAGAATTAAAGAAAAATGCATTTTACAAACATATCACATCATGAAAGACTTACAAGGTTTCCTACTGAAAGCACCCCACTAAACTGTTCTGTCATTGGGTAGTGCTCCATGGCCATGAACAGGGTGTTCAGGACGATGCAGATGGTAATGGCCAGATCAACAAATGGGTCCATCACAATCAAATTTACTATATGTTTGACTTTCAGCCAGGGAGTACAGCAGTCCCAAATTAAGCAAGTGTTAGCAAATTTATACCAGCATGGTGGACATTTCTGTCTGGATTCTTCCAGTTCTAGCGAGAAAAATGAAAATAACATTTTAAACACATTTCTCTATTCCAGAATTGCCTGGATATTTCCTTGAAACCTAAATGCTGTTTTCAAAGGTACTGTTGACAAACTGTGTTGATATTTTGAAACTAAGACTGCTTTCAGTTAAAAGAAATTACAATTTAAAATAATATATTACAAAAAAAAAAAACCCATGCCAATTCCCCCCCCCCCCCCCCAACAACTATACTAAACATTCAGTAGATAAAATAACCATTCAAAAGCTAATGCTAGATAGAATGCAAAGGAGAAATTTGTCTTAGAAACCTGTCATAAGGCTGGGTGATGAGGGGATTGAAAGCAGCCCAGCAAACAAAGACTTGGGGTTATTGGTGACTGAAAAATTGTGTGTGAGCCAACCATGTCAGTCACAGCCCAGAGAGCCAATCTCCTCCTGGGCAGCATCAAAAGCAGCCTGGCCAGTGGGCTGTGGGAGTGCTGTGCTCAGCTCTAGGGTTCCCAGCATAAGAGCAGGTTCAGAGGAGGCCACAAAGATATTCAGGGGCCAGAGCACATGGCCTGTAAAGAGAGGCTGAGAGACCTGGGGTTACTTGTCAAGAGAAGAGAAGGCTCCAAGGAGACCCTCTTGCAGCCTTCCAGCACTTATAAGGGGCCTGCAGGAAAGATGGAGAGGGAGCCTTTATCTGGGAGCGGAGTAACAGGATGAGAGTGTACAGTTTTAAAGAGAAAGAGGGTAGGTGTAGATTAGGTAGTAGGCAAAAATTCTTTACTGTGAGAGTGGTGAAGCCCAGGTACAGGTTGCCTAGGGAAGATGTAGATGTCCTATCCCTGGTTGTGTTCAAGGCCAGGTTGGATGGGGCTTGGAGCAATCTGCTCTGGTGAAAGGTGCTCCTGTCCATGGCAGGGGGGTTGGAACTCTAGATGATCTTTAAGGTCCCTTCCAATAAAATATTTTAAAATATCCTCAGGAAAGATTAGCATTTAGAGCACCCCTGAAGTCAGAGAAGTATTTAGGCAGCATTATGGTCCACATGTGCCCAACTGCTTTTTATTACCTTCCAATTTTCTATTTTGGGCATTGTCATTTAAGCCTCAACATAATGTTTCAACCTTTCTTACAAATAATTGCTTAATTCCATGATTCAGAGTAATTGTATTTAGCCTTACAGAAAGAAGAACATGATCCCTCCTTTGTGAAACAGCAAGTCTATTGAGTTGGTAGAAGGGGATTTTTCTACTGCAAGAACCATAGCCATTTTTAAATTGGATACTTGCTACTTCTGCCTCAAACCTATCAGTATGTTGCAAGCTTTTATCTTTTTCCAAATTTATTAGTCCCAAATTAAAACCAAACAAACTAAAAACCTACCAAAAAATCCCTCCCTTAACTCCACATAGAAATCTCTTCTTGTCTGTACCCTCTAGGCTGAAATAGCTGCCTTAAAGCATTACCACTTAATGCATCACACATTTAACAGCACTTTTAAGGCACTGTCATACAAAAAAAAATATAAAATCTGTGTTACATACCTTCCATTGTGTTTGTAAGCATGCTGGCTATACTCATTGCTCTTTGCCTTGCACTAGGGTCTGTTAGGTAGTCCATAGGAACATGGTAAGAACTAGAATGTCTCTTTCTTAAGTCAGTTTCTGTAGTAGTGCCCTGAAAATAAAGCACTAATGAAATAGCTAATTGATTGTACATTTAATAACACTGTAAGTTACTGTAGAGCTCTCCTGGTTTTAAACACTGCTGTCCCACACCAGTTACATTGCTCCAGTTACGCTGAGGCTTCACAACAGACTAAGGTATGCCTGACTCTGGAAAGAACAAATAGTCAAATACTGTAGCACATTGCTCTTGTGCCTGAAGAATATGTTTTTAAGTACTTTGCTGAAAGAGGGCTGAGATATTAAAGCAGATTTCAGACTAAAAAATGTTTCACAGTGCTTCTCAATGAGCTCTGCTGTAAATATCATTCTATTCAGGCAGTGAAGTCTTTTCCTAAATATGAAAATGCACAGCCCACACAGCTAGCAGTAAAGAAACTAAGCATAAGTGCATTTTCTTAAGAGAACTCTTAATTTAGAATAAACTATGAATTTCCTAGCACATTTTTCAGACAAATGAAAAAATATTTAGTAATGTTGACGTAAAAAAACCCGTAGAAAAATTAGCTATATTACAGGAACACTGTCACAACCCTTTTAAGTTGTACTACCAGGGTAACATCAAAAGTTTCATGTATGGACAGCAGGCAGCTAAATACTAATTTAATATATTCCATTAAGTAAACGTAATTTTTTTCAATTTTTATATCCTTTTGGATATACAAGTACAGAACCATCCAGTTAAGTCTAAGCATAATGAATCAATGGGTGTAAGACTACACAAACTAAATTTATTCAATGGTTTACTATGTTATTTTTTGAATTCCCAGTCAATTCACATGCATTTTCATGTATTTAGTTAATGAGAGCTGGACAACTTCAATTTCTCCTTTAGCTGAAATACATGAGAGGAGCATTCATAGCTTAGCCAGAAAGGTCATCATTGCCATGTGACTACATTTGTGGAAACAGTGACTGATACGGGGAGAGTACATCATGCCTGGGCTATTGCAGACTTCCTTACATTGCTAGCAGTGGCTGCTTTATCAATCATCACCTCTGGCAGAAGCTGTCCCGTAGGCGATGTCAAAGCTGGCGGCCCACCAACTAAAGACACCACTCCATTGCAATCCACAGTGCTGTGCATCTTCCCGTTTGCTGGAAGTGCAGGAACTGTTCTGGATGACCTACTGGCCTGACTAATGTTGCTGTTGCGCCGTTCACCATGTCTATGAGGGACAAAGAGAGAATCTCTTCTGCTCTCGTTGTCTTCAAAAGTGCTGTGCTCATCATCAGCAAAGTCATTTTCTGATCCTACGTCCTTTGCTCGACCTCTGAAGCTGAAAAGACTTGTTCTGCTGTTGCGCCTTGGGGAAAACAGGGAGCCACGAATGCTCAGCAAAGACTGCAGGTAAATAAAAACAATTATTATCAGATGAAAATAATTTAAAATACAACATTTTCATACAGAGGAAAAATCCACAATGTCTTAAAGGGTAAGGTCATCTAACAAGAAATGAACTGGTACAGTCCCCCCCACTAATACACTCCCTTTTGGGTAGTAAACAAAGAGCACATAAGTGACAGACAAAGACTAGTTATTTTACTGCTTTGGATATATGAAATCAATCTGTTTAATCAGAGTAAAAGAAACTGCTTGACAGAATTGTTTCCTCTGCTATTCTGCTTATGTTATTACCAACTGTTCATAAACTGAAAACGTATATCTAGACACTCTTTACCCCAGGCTGGCATTAGTATGACAGGCTGAGTAAATAAATATTTAGGCAAATTTTCTGTGACCCAGTCTGCACACAGAAGTAGTTCCCAAATACTGCCTACTTTAAAAAACATACATATATTTTCAGATATTAGTCAAGTAGATCATAATAGGTTTCTTATTTATTTTTTCTTATTTATTTTTTAAAGTCTTAGCTATCCTGAATATGCAATGATTTTTTTGTAACTTTGTATAAATCGGTTTGCTAATCTCATCAATTTACTCATTGGAGTAAGTGTTCTGCTATTGGAGGATGTCCAGTATTAGAGTCAAAATAATGCTCTAATCTTACAATTAATTATACACATTCTTAATTGTAATTCATATCAGTAATTGCCTTGACTGGACTGGTAAGTATTAGCACCTGATTTCACCCAAGACCTCTATGAACAGCAGAGATTATGCATAATGAAGCAGTGTCTTTGTTTCTCTTCTGCAACTTATCTTTGTGGACCTGAGCCCTGTTGTACTAGGGACTGCAAAATGCAGAACAAAAAGGCACTCTGCAAAGAACTTATCATTTAAATGTAACACAACAGATGGATACAAAAAGAAAGGGAATACACGGAGGCAAAATTGATGAGTATGATAAACAGTCATCTTAGCTCACCTGAAGTCACTTCCCTGTCAAGCTTTCTGTAGGCAGCATGGTAAAAGAGAGTTTTAAAGAGGGATTTGAGGAAAGCAATGAAGTGTTCTGTGGAAACTCATGGGAGCTTCTTCCAAGCATGAAGGGCAGCATACCAGAAGGAGCTCAAAGAAACTAGTTTGAAAATTTAACAGGAGGTTATGAATGCTGCTTTGGGTCAGTCAAAGCTGGGACTTGTTTACTGTAAGTAGACAAGGTGGGTTGGGAGGAACTTTAGGTACAGTATGTTTTATGATACAAAAAAAATCTTTAGGTAAATATGTTTACTAGCAGATTAGAGAAAAGCAATGGGATAGGTTAGTGCTCTTTGCAACAACATTCTTGATGAATACAGCAGTAAAGAGGTCCAAGTTAAAAATGATTCACAGTTGTGGGTCCAGAATAGAGTTTAAAAAAAAAAATAAAAGAAAAAGAGAGAGAAAAGGGATCTAGCAAAAGGCCTTGTGGAAATCCTTTGGAAAACTGTCAAAGGGGTAAAAGGATCTCCTAAAGCACAACTAAACCAGGAGAATTGAGAGGAGACAAAGTTATGAATGTTAGGAAGAATAAGATTTCAAGTGGAATAAAATGGTCATTCACATTGAAAGAAAGTGAAATGCCAAGGAAAAAGGCAAAGATTATATATAAGCCTGAGTTTTCTCTAGGAAAATGGTATTAAAAACTGATGAGTGGGACTTCTTTTTAGTGGTTAGAATCCAGACTGAAAAGGAACTAGGGTTGGAAAACCAGAGGGGAGGTGATTTCTAGACTGTCATAGTCAAACAACTGTAAATTAACTTGGAGATGAAAATGTTAGAAGAACAAGTTGTATGAGGAATGCTTAATTTCTTACAAGATGGATGAATTGTGCTGCAGCTGAATAAGGCTGCAGTTTGAATGGAGAGATAGGCAAGAATATGCACCTAGGGGATCATGGATCTTCAACATGAAGTTGAAGTCAATTGACATGTGTGAAAATTTGTATAAGGAACAGAATGAATCATGAACTAAATTCGGCAATGAAGCCTCACAGAGATTAGTTAGACAGCTAACAACATAAAACAGCGGCAGACCAAGGAGGTGGGGTGGGGGAAAGGATGCATTACTATTGAGAAAGGAAATACATTAGGAAGTGAGTGGAAGGAGTGCCAGAAACATTATATTCCCACCACAGTCTAGTCTAAGGAGGACAGTCCTTAGTAAGAAAATATTGGATGAAGAGGTCTGAGCTTCTTTGAGAATGGGAGGCTGGAAAAAACAATACATGAAGAGAGTATGAACGCTCATGATCTGTTAAGGGATGAAACAGGCTTTCCGGAGACAGAAATAGAAGAGGATTAGAAAGGCAGGAATGAGTTTAGTAATAATGGCTAAAAAGAGGGAGAAAGCAAGTCATAAAGACCAGGAAAAATTGAAAAGATGGTGATAGAAGGAAGAAGCATATTGAGACACAAAAAGGGGCAGAAAAAGGAGAGAATGTATGCAAGATCTGGATTTGCAGTGCTAAGGGGAGAGTGAGAAGTGGGCAAATGAAGAGGAGCTTTGAAAACTGTAGGAGATAACATTACAAAACTATCAAATGAAATAAATGTCTGGATGGGAGATGCAGATGGCACTCTGAGTCACTGGTGTTTCAATGTAAGAGAACACATGCAAAGACACATTGCCACACACAATTTCCACCTTCTTTAAGATAACACAATTAATGGTCTCACATCAATTAATTTCTCAAATTTGACATGAGCATTAATGTAATTTCTATTGAGCTTCCTGCATTCCAAATTTTAATACTATTCTCATTTGAAACATTACATTTTGTATGTATGCACCCTGTTTTGAAGCTACTCATCATGCTGAATGCATCCAACTTGATGGGGAGATAGGTCCATTTTAATTAAGAAGCTTGAAATACAGCCCATACTAATTAATATATGTAATTTTGATTTTTTCACATAGGAATTCAGAGCAAAATCAAAATCTCAAATTCTTACAGTTTCATATTTGGCTGCAAGTTTTTACTTGGTTAGTCTTTGATTTAGGATATTAATGAATCTGTGGTATCTTGCAAGAACTAACCAAACTGCTATACAGGGCTTTCTTTATATGATGAGTAGACAAAAAAGGTGTTTAAGAGGTAATAATACTATGGTACCTGGTGTGGGGAAGAGAATCTCTTTTCATATGTCAGTCTATTCCCCTCAATGGAAAATCGGAAGCCTTTCTTTTTGATGCTGTCCTCTGATGCCGATTTGTGAAATTCTTCCCCATCCTTCTCCTCGCCTTCAGATTGTTCTTTTTGCTTTTTTTTCTTTCTTCTATTCCTTCTCTCTTTAGCACTCTTTGAGCTCAGTTTTGATGCCTCAGAAGAACTTTCGGAGAATCCACCTATTCCACCAACTCCGCTATAATCTCTTGAGTCAGCTGCTGCAGCTGCTGCTGCCGCCTATACATACAAGCACATGTGTGATTTACACCATTTATACAAATACATACCCCACTCACTATTTCAAATTTATTGCCACTCTTAAAGAAACTATTATTTTGAAATAAAAGCAATGTTTCCACTTCACCAAGCTCAGCATATCATAAGAAGTGTAATTTGTGAAATACTACAGGAACCATAATTTGCCATTGCTCCATAAACCAGGAGCAAGAGTAACCCAAGGGAAAACTGTGCTGTCAAAAAAACAAGGTAAAAAACATCTGTTTCAGATTGAAGCAATATGTTGCAATGAATTTTTCATCTGAAGCACTACGTAAAAATAAAAATCAAGACTTAAACAAGTGGTAAAATCCCTGTTAGCTGGAAGCAAAACTTTCTTACAACATTTTGATGGGTTTTGAATACTCCCTAGTCTATTAAAGATCTTGTGTAATGTTGATATCTTAGCTTGGCAAATAATAATCAGAGATTTGTGTTAAACTACACACTATTACATACTTGTACCTGTTTGATTTTCAAAACATGTGGAGCATTTTATTAACATTTATTTACAAGATGTGGTAAAAAAACAACAAAAAAAATCTTCCAATTCCCCCCTAACACATAGCAATTGACCAATGAAACAAAAAATGCTGACTGCTGACTTTAGTCATGTGCTTATATGGAAGACATTGTTCAACTTCTGCTCTATGAGGCCACATGCCAAGCAGACATTATAAGTTTTTCTATTAAAGATTTGAGAGCCTTCAAAAATGAAAAGTAATTTCAAAGCAGCGTGTAATCATTACATTTGTACCACAGAACTGTTTTCTTCAGTTTCTCCACTTTTCCCAATTCTCTTTAAAACTGGAAAGCTATGGCTTTCTGCTGTGAGAGATGGACAGGGAGTAGAAAAAGCCAATTGATGAAGCACCATCATCTACAATAGTTTTGCTTCTGTTACTTATATAAGCACAATTAGTCTTTGGATTTTTTTTTCCACATCTCCACCTCCATTTCAAACAATCGCAGAATGGTTGAGGTTGCAAAGGAACCTCCGGAGGTCATCATGTCCACCTCTCCAGCAGACAGGGCCACCTAGAGCAGGTTGCCCAAGGACCATATCCAGATGGCTTTTGATTATCTCCACAAGCACTCTGGGCAACTTGTTCAAGTGCTCCGGCAAAAAGTTAATTTCAGTCTCCAATTTGAAAATCCAGTGTTTTAGCTTTTTGGTTATTATTTTTGTCACAAAATTAACAGGTTCACTCAAACCATCATAAACAGTGCAATGGAAAACATTAGAGATTGTTTACAATCTCTAATGAAGGAATGAAGGAATTTCTGAAACAAAGTAATATATTGTTAGGAGTAGGGGTGTACAAGTTTTCTCATATGTGAACATAAAGCATTTGTTCACTGTCATGAATGGAAGATTAAATTTTACTTTACAACGATACCTGAGCTTCTTCCTGTTGCTTTTTCAGTTGTTCCAGCATTTGCTGAAATTCTGCCTCTTTCTGCTCTGCTTCTTCCATTGTTGCTTGGTTCTGTTCTTCGTAGGCCATGGCAACCACAGCCAGGATCAAGTTGATTAGGTAGAAAGAACCCAGGAAAATGACCAAAACAAAAAATATCATGTATGTCTTCCCAGCAGCACGCAGTGTCTGGAGAAAAAGAGATAATATACTTTTTTAACAGATTTTAACTACCATTGCATAAGTTAGCCTCTGTGTTCTAATTTAGAAATATGTTATAAGATTGATCTATGTTAACACAAGATTATTTAGTTACTTTTTCATTATAGAAATAATATTATATCCTAAACATATATGAAAATGTTTTGTGTCTACTATTGTCAAGGTAAATCCAATTCGAATAGTTCAGAACGTATACCAGTAAGAATCTATACATCTACATTACAGCCTTTAAATTTAACAGTAGGTGGGGCCACTGATCAGCATCTTACCTTCCTGTCTCATCAGTCCCAAACTACACTGCCACAAGAATAGTGCATTATACATAATGTGACAGTGGAGAAAGTTACAGTCCTTCAAGTAAGGATATGTATAGTTCAGGGACAAGGTGCAACCTTTTCAAACAAAACACATTTTCACTAGACTGCAAATCAATCAAACATAGCATCTCTTTACAGCATGTATGGGTAAGAAACTTTGACAACTTAAATTCATGTATTCATTTAGGTAAAAAAACAATGATGCTTAACCATCTTCATAAAATAACAGCTATTCCCTATATTGTATTTAAGAAGCACATGGGAACCTAAATCATGAATAAGGGCCTTATTGTTTTTGAGACAACAGTTTATTGATATGAAATTAAAGATGGTTTCTGCTCCAAAGGCCTTAGGGACAAGTGAATGAAAATAACTATGCAAGTACTATGTAGTAATGGTATTGGTGATGGTGCTGTTTATTTTAATAAGTCCTCACCAGCTGGTAAAGATTCTCCCAAAAGTCCTGAGTCATCAATCGAAACAGTGACAAGAATGCCCAACTGAATGTATCAAAACTTGTGTAGCCATAGTTGGGATTTCTGCCAGCTTTCACACATATATATCCTTCTGGGCATTGACTACAAAAGAAGAGGAAATGCTATTTTTAACAACTACTCTACATTACAGTATGCTGCAGTAAAACAAAATTGTTTAGGAGTACCAGTTGCTAAAGAAATTATGAACAAGTAAAATGTTATTCTACATACCTAACATAAAATTATATAGCTTATTATTTTTCACTTTTTAATTCTACTTTCTAAAAATATTTAAATTCTTTGATAATATAACTAATAGTATTCTACCCTTCCCCACAATTTGTCATAACACATCTCCATCAGGACAAGAGAAGAACATCAAGTAGCACGGCTGATAAACAGTTGTTAGCAAGCTGGAAGCAACACTTATGCACAGATCATTCATGTGATTACCTTTACAAAAGTAGCCTAAGAGGCTGATGGAAGTGCCTGTGTAAATTGAAATCATAGAGATGGTTGTATTTAGGTATAGTTTCACATGCAAAATATTGGTAATTTGTAACTCTACAGTACACTTAATATTAAAGTTGACTACCTGAGCTATTCTAAGTAGCTTGTTATTTGTCTTTGATGCATAATGAAAAATTATGATCATTTTCTTACCCTGCATCTGAGCTATTGCCACACAGCAGTGCATCATTTTGTCCTTCTAAGAAGTAGAAATGACCTGTTTAAAAAAAGATCAAAAAGATGATGAGAAAGATAATATTTATGCCTAATGAAAATTGAGCAATTATATAGACTTTTACACTTGAAAGAAACTAGCAGAGCTAACAAACTGTTCAACTGCAATATATAGTGGTTAGGAATGAAAAAGCATGAAAAGTATTGTTTTGGCAGGAAAATTACTTTCTACAGAATCTTCAAGTTATTCTTTCTTTAGAAAACAAAAAAGTTAGTTACGCAGGTAATTCTTAGTAACCTAACCAAATTAGATACAAGGGATGGAATATCAAATTGTGTATGTTATCAAATAAAAAAAAATACCAGGACATTGAGGAAAAGGATGAGAGCAATTCTGCACCTTCATTCATGCCTTTTGATACATAACATTTAGTACTATTCATTTATAATTATCAATTACAGATTATTTTATCCAAGTATTCCTTTAAAAGAAAAAATGGAATTATTAGGGATGAGATTTTTTTTCCCTGTACTCAGCACCGGTAAGGCAACACCTCAAGTGCTGTGTCCAGTTCTGGGCCCCTCAGTTCAGAAAGCACCCAGTGACAGGATGAGAGGGCACAGCCTTAAGCTGTGCCAGGAAATGTTTAGGTTGGACAGAAAGAACAATTTCTTCACAGAAAGGGTGGCTGGGCATGGGAATGGACTGCCCAGGGAGGTGGTGGAGTCACCATCCCTGGAGATGTTTAAGGAAAGACTGCATGTGGCACTCAGTGCCATGGTCTAGTTGACAAGATAGTGTTAGGTCACAGGATGGGCTAGATGATCTCAAAGGTCTTTCCCAACCCCATTGATTCTGTGATAACACAACATGTTCAAGAAATTTCTAACTGGATCTTGATTTGAGCATCTGGGGGAGAAACCACGCATTTATTGTACCTTGCACAAAACTAATACACAAAATTCTGTAGCAGGGGAATATACTTGAACATTTAGGCTAACTATTAAGATTAGGTAAAATATAATTTAAAGAGGCAGAAAGCCTAAAAAACCACAACACACTCTTCTATTTTATTTTATTTTTCTTTCTTTGCAGCAGAAAATGAAACATTTTGCCATCAATTCCTAGTTTGTGATTCTTAGGGTAAAATGGGAATCTCTAATGGAGATTTTTGGGTCAGGTGGCACATTAAGCTAAAGTTGCCAGAACTAGGTATGTTCTGGCTGTTCTCAGGAAGCAGATGGTTCCGTGAGATTCACTGCCAGCTGGCATGGACTAGCTTAGCTGGCATGAACTTACTGAGGGCTAATGCTAAACAGACAAGCAGGGAATTGCAACCAGTTCCTACAGACTGCTTCTACTCTGTCACCACCAGTATACGATAGAGGCAGCATAAAATCTGCTGTTTTTAAAGAGAGAGAAATTATGTCCATAATTTATATATCTGCAATTCTAGTCTCAGATATCATATAAGAAATCAATGCATTTTCAGACATTCTGGTGATTACAGAGTCAGAGCCCGTGAGACATCTGACTCCTACTTAAAAGGAAGTTTAAAGATGCAGGCAGGCTCCAAGCAGAACTTGCAAAACTCTCTGTGGGCCTAATTCACATTCTTTTGTGGTGCAGCTCCACTTTCAGTCCACTACTTTGGAAAAAAAAGAAAATTTTTAAAAATACAAAAATAATAATGATAAAGTAATAAAAATAGTAAATATGAGTTTGTAGAAAATATGCCACGTACAAAACTATTCCTGTCTCCTGCTGACATAATAGAACAATCGTGGGTACATGTCCTACATGACACTTCCAGATACAAATAAAGAAGATATGTTCTGGCTGGAAATATCACAAAACACTCGAAAAAAGTTCCTAGAGAGCTATTGCCAGTGACACAATGCCAATTCATAAGGGATTCTCTGAAGATCTCCCAGGTATCTGTGCTAGACACAGTTTTCTAACAAGTTTCATTACCAACTCAAGACACAAAATAATAGAAAAAAAATGCATCAAGTATTCTGAAGACATAAGGCTAGGAGAAAAGGTATTTGAAATTTAGAATGACCTTTACAAATTGACATGTTTTTCCAAAAGCAATTGGATTTATTCCAATAGAGACAAGTGAAAAATGCTACACTTGACAGGGCAAAATCAAATATGTAAATACAAAATATCAGGATGTGGCTGCAGCCACCACTGTACAAAAAGATGCAATAACTGCTGCAAAATACAAACTGACTGTGAATCAACAATACAGTGCTGACATAAAAATGACAATTTTGAAACGTGCTAATAGGAATGTTGCATATATAGCATGAGGTAAAGATACAAATTAGAAGTAATTGCTAGAGGAGTTAGCACCCAATTTAAGGATCCTTATTAAGGATCTTATTGTATGGGATTAAAAAACCCATACAAACAAAAAATGCAACAAAAAAAGAGGCAAAATAAAAACAACAAGAAAAGTGCTAGACTAATTGAAAAGACTGAAAAACAGAAAAAAAAAGAAAATATGTATAGAAAATGCAAAATGGAAAATACGATTGCTTGGCTTAGGAAAGACCAGAAATGCAGAGGATAAGAGTAGCAGATGTAGTAATATATTCAATCAGAAATTAGGAAAATGTAGGTCAGATATTTAGGAAAAAGACCTTTCTATTTGTGTGACATAGTACCAGAAACAACAAAAGGAGAATGGAATGGTATCTGTTCTTCAGATGGCTTTAAGAATAGGTTATCATCCAGAATTTCTGCATATCATTTGTATATTTCACGCATGCTGAGATGATAAGTATATTAAAAGATTATAAGGCAATGAGACCTGGATCCAAAAGCATTTAGTTCTTAAACTAAAGAAGTTTCCTAATTTTCATTGATATAGTCACCAGCTAAAATATTAATACAGACTTTATTAAAAACCTATTACACCTAATTATAAATACATTACATACACTAAATACACTAAAATAAATGGAAGGGCCTGAACAGATAAATGGGAGAGATTAACAATACTATTATGAAAGAATAGCAATCTACTATAGATATGTTCAGAGCTCTATCTGAATTTTTAAACAAGTTTTGTTAACACAGTACTAACATTAACTACCTAAAATGGTGGAAACATTGTATTAAGAGGTACAAAAGAGAAAAAAGTGCTCATTTCTTGATTTTCCAAAGATAAGAAACAAATTAAAAGACAGAAATATGGAATCTAGTTCTTAATTTGCAAGAAAGAATCTTGGCATAAATCAGCAGCATTCTCTTAAAGGCGCGTCTGTGCTATGCAGGGGCACGTGGTGCAAAGCCACTCACCCAGCTCCAGAAGGAACAACGAAGCTACATTTGTGTGCTCTGGCAGGATTCTTAGGCTAGCTGATGTTCAGATGTGGGCTCATGAGACCGGGCACTGTCTTGCACAAACCTAGCTGTTACATTTCATCCCATGTTAAGGCTGTCACACTATTTCAGGAGGCTTGACGCTAGCATGGAAATTTCTGGTTTATGCTGCAACATGATTTTACTCTAAAAGTCATATTCAGTGAAAGAAAAGATATTTTGCTACCCACTATAATGTTATGAATGTTAAATCATATAACGACTGTGCTTTTATTTATCAGAGAAAAATTAGTGCTTTTATATTTCTCGGCCATATTACACACTTTTAAAAGGCAAGGGAAAGATACAGATATTCTCAAATCTATTTAAATCAATACCAGAAAATCAATGCAGTAGATTATATAATTAACTCTTACTTTTGTCTTCAATGTATTCATCCCAGTTAAATGTTGTCATTGTTGCATTAATAAATGTACCATTTTCACCTATAGAGCTATTAAAGATGGAAATAACAGTTGTTTCAAAAGTAGAATTGTCTGGAGGCCACTGCAGGCATTTATTCCTCAGGTTGCCCATGAACAGCTGCAGCCCTATCAGTGCAAATACACTGAGACAAAACACAGTCAGGATCATCACATCCGAGAGCTTCTTCACAGACTGAATCAGGGCTCCTACAATAGTCTTCAAGCCTGCAAAGAGAAAATATTTTTATTATGATGTTAAATAGATACTAAACAAACACAAAAAATCATGTGGCTTTTTTCCTCATAAAGATATCATGCAAAAAGACTAGTAATTTGTGACACAATAATTTTAAAGAAAAGCCTTATTATTTGGAAAGATGAATGAGAATATGTAAGTTTATACTTATGTTATAGTGTAAAAAAAATAAAAAGTAGATAATACCAAACATATTGTTTATGCCAAAACAAGTGATTTTTTATTATTCATGCTGTATTTCAACCCTACATAAAATAGTATTTTTTTTGCTTTTGCTGATGCTTCTTGCCCAAACCTTTCTTTTATGAACTTTTGCAATGTATTCTATATTAATGTAACCCCATTGTAAAGATATTATATATGCACATTGAAATAGTATCATAATAATCTTGTTACAATATATGAGGGGTGATGGTTTGGAGAAGAAAGACATCTTTAGAACAATACCCCATGCAAGCCCATGCTATCCTTTAGAGTTTATTTTTGTTTTTATTGACATAACTTAAAACTGAATTAACTTGCTATATCAAGTGCCTCCAATAAATGAGAAAATTTGCATCAATATGAAAGCTTAAAATTAACTTATATTTAAAACATGTAAAGGAAAGCTTGATGTCATAAGATGCAAATCACATAGGCTGTTTACTGCAAATATCTCATGCAAGAATTTGTTAAACTCAAAGGCTGATTTTTTTTTTTTTTTGAGAAGAAAATACAACTAATACAAGCATGAATCAATTTAAATAAATTACATGTCTTGATTCCTGCTTTTTTGGTTTGTTGACAATGTGTAGCAAACAAGGCTTATGCTTTGAAAATGTGAGTACAGCCTTTGTAGAACAAAAGTCAGCCTCGGTGTTTAACCTCGCTCTCACCTGGAATGACTGATATTGTTTTCAAAGCTCGGAGAACTCTGAATGTTCTCAACGCTGAGACATTGCCCAGGTCCACAAACTCTGTCACATATCTGTAATAGGGGAGTTCACACACAAACACAATGACAGCACACAAATAACAGTTGGAGATACGAGGGGCCTAACACCTTACACCAACTACTTCTTACCTGGAATTACAGAAATAGTTTTCAAAGCTCTCAGAACCCTGAAAGTGCGCAGAGCTGAAACATTGCCTAGGTTTACAAATTCTGTTACATACCTGTAGGATTAAATCACAATTACTCAGAATTGAGGCATATTTTATTCTATTTGCTTGGGTCTTTGAGCAAGACCTTTTCACCGTTCAGTGTATTTTGCCTGTGTTCTAAATATACTTCTGGCCATAAAATTAAATTAAGTTTTATCATAATAAACCACATTGACTTGACGTTTGAAAACTAATCTGGTCAGCTATTAGCAGGAAGTCAAAAGGATTCCTTTAATTCTGGTATGCAGAAAGGAGACAGGATATGAACAGTTCAGGGTGACGGCATTCACAATCCTAATGGGCTGGCACACCATGCTGGCCTCCGCAGCACATGCTTGGCTAGAAATACTAAAATGTGTAAAAGAGTAGAAGAAACATATTGAAACTGCAGGAAGTCCAGGCTCCAAATATTCTGGCTGACAAGATATGAGGCAATTTTTAGTCACTAATCTCATGCTACCAGAAAGAATTTTTATTAAAAAAATAAGTAGAAGACTTACGCAAATGTAATAACAGTGAAATCTAGCCAATTCCATGGGTCACGGAGAAACGTAAAATCTTCTAAACAGAAGCCCCTTGCAAGAATTTTAATAAGTGATTCAAACGTATAAATTCCAGTGAATGTGTATCTGAGGAAAATATGCAAGACAGAGTTTATAGATCACGTTATTTTTGCAGTTTATGCTCTCTAGTTGTTTTATTCTCGTTTTCTTTTCTCATTAGGATTTAAAGACTGATAACCCACATCTTAAATTCAACTTCTACATTCTATGCAATAAGACAGATGCAAAATTCCCAGTTACTTAATTGGTGCATGTTTATGACCAGTCTGAATTCATGTTATAACAAAGCACACAGATGTATTATGTTAGAAGTCTAGGAGTTACTATCAGGCTAAAAATTCCTTTTTTCAATGTTATTTTTACGCTGAAATGTTGCTTAGTCCCAAGAGTTGGCAAGCGCCAACCCTGATCAGTCTTCATTGCTCTGTAACTGTGTTATGGAGTAGGTATATCCAGCACTTCACCTTCAGTAAGACAGATGTAGTACTGGAATTAAACAAGTGCAAGAACAACCAAAATTATTTATGAATGCCAATTAAATTTTGACTAAAAATGTAATTGAAATGTAAATTGAAAATATATTAAATTCTGGCACTCTGAGTAATTTCAGTCTTCTGTGTCTAAGTGATGTCATTCTGAAATTTAGTTTAATTTAATGAAAAGGAATTAAAATTAAACTGCTCAAAAATCTTACTCAGCTAACCTGAAAACAGTTTTCTGATATGAAAGTTTTCCATTCAATTACTAAGAAATTTATTTCCTGCAGAACTTTACTACTTTACTCCACAGATGAGGACATCCGTTGCAACTCTAAATGGCACAATATACGGACATGAAGAAATATTCAGGCAATGAATCTTCATCATAAATATTTACTACATGCTAGATTCCTGAATACATAGAGGCTTACACTGAACTCGAAATGAGAATGTCTTCGTTGACCTTAATAGCCCTATGGTTTCACTTTTCATTTTTGTAGATTAAACAGGTATGGATCAGCCCAAGCAGTAAGGAATGAAGAAGCAGCAGACAGGAAGCACCAAGAACAGTGTTTCACACTGTGGCCTGCAGCTTTGGAACTGTCACTGTGTATTGACACCTCGCAGCTAATTGCACCAATGAGCCAAGCAGTCATCATATTGCACCAATGATTAGCTAACCATTTCAATACTGTTAAAATAGCTTATTTTGCATATAAGTTTTCCACTGTTAGATTGGTTTTAGTAAGAGAAAGCTGCACTGTGATCAACACAGCCATCCATAAGATGATTCCTTTATCTGTAACGGTTATTGCAACAGAGATGAAAGACTGCATTTCCCTGCACTCTTGCACAGATGTGACATAGAACTCAGTCAAAAATATTTATAATCCACCTTTTCTGTATGATAGTAAGAATGGCTTATCTTACATTTTCCATGTAGTACTGCGAACTGAGGAAGGACATTAAAGAACTTGTCATGCTACAATTATATGTATTTAATGTTACAGCAAAGGAAATAGCATCAGAATAGTTGTTGATAGGATGTCCCAACAAAGTAGCTGCTGCCAGTGGAAGTCACCCTAATATAATTTAGAGTAGTTTATTTCTGACTATTGGATATTATTCAGAGAAAATCCATTTAACTTACTCTACATTCTTTGTCCAGTCTGGAGGGTTACTCATGGTCATAAATACGCAGTTGGTCAAAATAGTGCACATGATAAGCATGCTGAATAATGTAGGCTAAGAGTTAAGGAATGTAAACCAGAAAATTTCATAAAAAGATTATCAAATAACACACTGCTTTGGTAGATTTTCACTATCAGGAGATATCTATCCCTCTATTGCTCTTTTAATAGCCAGTGAAAAGCCCTGAATATGTTAAAGCTTTCATTACTTGCTTTATAGTTACAAAAGAACAATCATATGCTAAAAATTATAAAACCTGAAAGGTATTTTAAAAAGCACCACAACTCTAAAATATTTTTTCTTATTGAACAAAAATGTCACCCTTTGAAGTATTAGCTTCTAACTTCAGGGAATAACACAAAAAGTATTTCTTTTAGATGATCTAGAAAAATCTGATCTGCTTCATGGATGCAAAGCAATGAAAAATACATTTTCTTCACTTTAATGTTTAGGCATGTATCAACATTTTTCCTTATCACTATGATACACTGAAAGCTAGCTGCCACATAGAAGGAGAGAACATAGGGAAATCTTAGTGAGAAAAGTATTTTATTGCTGTTTGTTTTATATATGACTTTGGTAACATAAACGCTGTTGAGAGGGGAAGGCACATGTGATTCTCAAAAAAAAAAATCCAAATAGAATTCCAGAAGTGGTTCAAGTCACTCTAAATCTACAACCTTTTACTCTCAGAACTGCTGACATTCTTCTAAGATACAAAAAAAAAATACACCCATCAAAATGAAAACCATGCAAATGAACTACGAAATGCCCACATGATGGCACCAACACCTAAAGCTACAGAGAGGACAAAGCTCGAGTTTGAGAACAGCTGCAGGTTCATGTGGTGCTCTTAAATAGAAATTCAAATACAATGAGGTGAGAAGTACAGTGAGGTTCCCCTCCAAAACTTTTCTTTGCATGTCTACACTAATAAAAAAACCTTCAAGTGATAATGATACCTCTACCTTCTGAGCTGTCAAAAAACCGTGACATTACATTCAACAATCCTTTGGGTTTTCTGCACAATGAATATATTTAAAATTCTTTACTGAGAACCTAGCTTCTCTTTATGGAATTTACATATGAACAGAGCAAAAGAGAAACAAATATATATTTTTTTAAATATTAAAAACTCATGCTACAAGTGTTTCACCAGACTGTACTTTACATAGGCTTTCAAAATCTTTTTTGATGAAATGTCCACTTAGAGCCGCAGATCCTCACAATGCTTTCATTAGTGGAAAAATAACTATAATATACCTTACCACAAATTTAAACAACGTGGTTTAGCATTCTGACTTTGGTCACTAGCTCTTCACCACCACCTCGGTCCCACAATCTTCTATTATTCCCTATAACTCAATATAATAATGCTTCAGAATATGGGAAAGAGTGTCATATTATTGAAAAATAATAATTTGTAGTGGCACCTGTAGCAAGAAAATTGAAAACAGCCTATGTAGTATCATGATTGTTTTGGAAGTCATTTGTAGGCTAGCCATTGATAACAATGTCTAACACATACCAACTACTGTAATTATCAGTCTTCCAGTACACCAAGACTCAAAAAAGTCCTTTCAAGATTTAGTCTACATAATCTCAGGATCTCTATACACAATGCTAACACAAAGTTAGCACACTACTTTCAGTGTGCTTATGTTAGACTTCTGTAAATACAAGTGAGTAAACATTTGTATTTTTTCCTTATTAAGTAAGCTGGCTTTCTGAAGTCAATGACCTCATTGCTCATATTGGTATTTGGGATCAGACTAGTGGGATGCCTACTATAGTCTGCTATTAAAACAATGAAAAAGACAAAATAATAGTTAAGTAATTACAATAATTTAGCTATTCAAATCTCTACCTGCAATGTGGAAATCTCATGATTTTCTTGAAGACTGAAATTAAAACATCAATAGGCTTACAAGTGTATGATGCAATAATGATCAAGAAATAAAACAGACAGGCGGGATACATACAAGACTGAGAATGTATAACAAAACAAGAAAGCTAAGCTGTGTTATGAAACTATCTTTCTGTAAGCATTATCTGAATCAGAAAATGAAAAGGAATAATGAAACCATATTTTCACTAAATACTCATGCAAGCACAGACCTGGGATCAAAGATTTTATTTTAATACACAGTGTCAGGGAAGAAATGAAAGTATTCTGAGCAACATATCTGCAGTTTATGAAAAATGTGGAGGAGGGGAAAGATGAAAAAAAGATGTGAAGATTACAGAAAAAAAATAAGAGGGAAGGAAAAATTATGTGGGGGAAGAAAGAAGATACAGAAATCGTAAAGGATGACGACTGGCTGTCTGGCTTCTGGTATTACTATATTAGGATCCAGTAATGAACAGAAATGAAAAAGGAGAATGAGAAAAAGATCAGAAGACAGAAATAGTAGAGAGAAGAGGGACAAAGCACTACTGATCACATTGATCCTGGGACATATGCCAGAGAATGACTTAAATACCAAGTAACATCTCATTCATTACAGTTTCAGACTAACCACTTGAAAAGGATATGAATGTACCAAAATCTTAATAGCTATTTTTCTAAGAGGATTGAAAGGAGTTAACATGTACAGGGCAGAGGTGGCACTGAATCGGAATATTGCCTTTCCTTTATTTAATACTATAAAGGTCTGGAAAAAGAAAAAGAGAATGAAAAACAGCATTTAGAAGATACCAAGTTAAAAACCCTGAATCATTTTCATTTCATCATTAATCATATTTGGTCAAAATGCTCTTTTTGCATTGACACAATCCCCTTGTCCAGTTCACACATTGTAGCATCCAGCCAAATTACTATAAATACAATTAAATGAACACTTAAATGCATCTATAAAGAAATCATAAGTAATCCTGATATTGATAGCTAGTAAACAGAGACAAGTATGAAAGTAATGCAGGCAATATTTGAAGAATTAGCATACTTTTTGTACGGTATAATATATACACCGAGGTGTGTAACTGTTACCAAAATGAGAGCCATTAAAACTTCAACTTCAATCTCTAAATCAAATGACCAGCATAAATTATCAAATCAAAGTACTAAGACAAAAGTAACTCAAAGTGATCTAAGTATCAAGTGATCCTGAAAATATGGAAATCAAGAAGGTTCAATAACCATTTTTTAACATAGTACTAATGTACTCAATTTTTTGCTGTACTCTGAGAGTAATGTATTACTTCCCTTTTCAACTATTGCTTGTGATAGTTCTGTACCTGCAAGTCTATTTTCCTTGTCATACTTTACTTTCACCTAATACAGAATTCACTCGATTCACTGTATCCAGGTATTTTCACTCTCTCCACAGTTTCAGCAATGACTCATGTATATTATCAACATTCAAAAAAAGCATTTTAAAATGTAACAGTGCTTTTAAAATCCAAGCAATAAAGAATAAAACCTGTAAGGTTTTTTTTTTTTTTTAAATTATGTTGATTCCCACACATCTGGGGAAAGTCCTGTGTATTTCCACAATCTCTTCTTTCTACACATGGTTGACTTTCACACTTTTGAAAGACAATGGATCTAGATAGCATTGTGGCAGTCCTAGGAAGCCCAAAGGGCACATAAGCCATGCAGACCTGGAATACTGCCAGCAGCCATGATCTAACTCAGCTGAAATCAGAGGGCAGCATTTGTCAAGATTATGCTCTACTTTCTGAGCAGGTGTGGCAAACAGAGCAGCTGAAACCACAGCCTCCCCCTGCCTGAAATAATAAATTATAAATTATAAAAATCAGTGGTTCCAAACTTAACATGTTTGCATTCTCCCATACTTAGAGATTCTCAAGCTGTACTTTGATCTTTTATTGTACAGGAATCTGTAACATGCTCTTTACTATGAAGATTCTCTTACTATTAGTCCTGGAGTTAATGAAAACAGGACTTCTAATAATCAGAGTTCTTATGTCTTCTGTTCCCTTTACTCTGACAAAACCTCTGATGAAGTCACATTTGTGTTATGCTGACTCATTAATTAGGCTAAAAAATTAAAATGGAGCCTGACCCAAAAAATTATGTTCAAAAATATGCAAAGAATGCTAAGAAAAATAATAGGAGAAATTATGATTGCAACATAAAGCATGAAGTCTTGCTTCTCCTACTGGAAACCACAATGCTTTTGGAAAAGATCAATCAAGAACAAGCAATTCAGCAGGATTTTACTTCACGTCTGCACTTAATTGCAGAATTACTCTTCTAGTTTCCAAAGCATGATGATGCATGCTCTAACTTCAGGATTTCTGGCACTGAATTTAGATATTTACTACTACAGAATGTAGAAAGAATTAAGGAAAGGAATCGGTACTTTAACCCAAATTCTATTTGCCTTCCAGACTTCAACAGGGTAAATCACTTGACTAAAGGGAGCAAAACATGATAATTAATTGAAAACCTTGTTTTCAGATTTAACTCATGATTCTCTATACACAAATTCAGTTTTAGAAATCTTGCAATGAACAATTTAAGCACAATTGATTTTTTTTTTTTTTTAGCTATTCTGCTTAGTTATTCATGGTATGCCTATATTGCTATTATTTCAACATATTACTGATGAGGCATACCCCTAATTCCTGCAGAAAATATCTTCATTTGCATTTTTTCTCTTAGTCTGAGTTTGAATCATAACAATTCTTGGAATCTTTCTTCATTTTTCTTTGAAGCAGTTTCTTCACTTTCACGGGTTTTGTTTTTTAATTCACTTGTTTTTATTAGCTAGCTAGTTTCCACAGGAAAGAAAAGAAAGCAGGAGAAAAAAATTATGAAAACAAGGAAAAAAAATCATTTCTTCTTTACTAGTACAATAAGGAGACTGCAATACATATGATGCCAAAATCAAAGGAACTGAAAATCTGGAGGAAACCCAAGGCCATCTGGACACTAGTCTAAAGTTCAACACTTTTGTGCTGGCCACAGCAGTTGTTGTTACTTTAAATCAAAGCAAATATGCGGATTGTTTGGGGTTTTTTTTAAGTAACATCTCCATAAAAATAATTTTTAATTATGTAACATTCTGTCAACACTCCAAGTACAATTGCTACCTCCGCTTTATTTATGTCCCTCTTTTGAACACCTCCTCTTTGAAAACAATCCTAGTACAAAATAGAACTGGTTAAGAAATTTTTTTCACCCAGACTAAGTTGGATATATGATGCTTTTACAGAGTAAATATGGATCAGGATGATCATCATATCCTGAGAAATTACCTTTACATACTTTCCTATCCTTCCCAGTGAAAAGAGAATGCAACCTAAACTTTTCACAACAGTGAAGAAATCTAGTAAGAGGATGTGTGGCTACCTTTGAGGTGGATTTCATATTGAAGACCTGCTTCTTTCACCACTATAACACAGCAATTAGTAATTTTTCTAAACATAAACCCTGTGCTGCTACTTCAATTCTCCTGCATGTAAAACACTGAAAGTTACAGGTTTTAATAAAATGCCAGGTTTATTTAAAAAAAAAAATAAAATAAGTGCATCTCTACTTGTCTATAAGGTCCCACAAGCATTACTAATTTCTGTTCTTGGAATGGAGACTTCTGCCAATCACATCAGCTGTTGGGGGAATTATTATATGGAAGCTCTAGATCAAAAATAATAGAAATACTATGTCTTTGAAGGGTTGTTTGTTATTTATTTTTCCTAAAGTCTGATGGAAATACTTTTACACTCACTTTTTTATTGATATAATATGGGTCCAGGTCTTCCAAGGGCTCGGACACCATTCCTGGAGGTATGTCGCCGTAAATAAATGGCAGGGTCTTTCCTGCCTCCAAGTCACTGTTTGGCTTTGGGCCATCTTCATCATCATCATCTTTGCGCTCTTGTTTGGATTTTTGAGCTTTCTCTTCATTGATACGCTGTTCAATAGCTGCAAGGGATTCTCTTGTGAAGTAGCGGAAGCTGTCGGGTCCTGGTGGTACCAGCACTGATTGTGCCATCTTTTCATCCTGCACCTCTTAATTACTGTTTAGCCTCTCTCATAAAAAAAGTGCTAAAATTAAAAAAAAAAAAAAACAAAAAAACAAACAAACAAACAAAAAAAAAAAAACAGAAAAAAATTAGAACAACACAGCTACCAACAATGTAAAGTAATATACCATCACAGAATTTTGTGCGGTACATCTTGTTAAATTCAGTAATTATCATCCAAAAGGAGGCTGCTGTGAAATGAATTTTTAAATTTGTTTTTATTTAAAGACAAGTCATTTTCCTTTGCAGCTTGCCTCTTAGAGTGGTTTCAGAGGTATCAATTCTTAAAGCATTTAGTTTAAAATTCATTTAGTGCTTGCACCAATAGATTGTCATTTCTACAGGCTGATAAAAAAAGTCACATACAATACTATAACATTTTTAGCCTTTATCAAGGGTAATGTTATCCATTCCCATGAACAGAGTAGGATATATTTTCCACTACATTCAGTGTGAGGAATCAACAGTTCTGAAGTATTTAGTTCAGTGCTGAGTGAGACTCCAGACAATGCACCTCCTTACACCCTGAAAGCTGCATCTTGGAGCAGTCCTCCCTCTAGCTATATGGACCAGAAATTACTCTTAGAATCCACTATTGCCACGTAGGCCAGAAGGATCAGTTGAAAGCAATACAAGATGCTCCTTCTCTTCGAGTACAAAATATGCTGCCTTTGCTGAACTGCCAGCTCAGGAAACAAGGTGCAGGCATAAGCACCTGTATTCAGATCCCCTGCCTGGCAACACACTGTGCACTGGAAGAATTGCTGAATTAAACAAAACTGATTTTTAATCATTACAACCTGCACTTAGATCTTTCATGTCTGATATCATATCAATTGTATATATATTTCATAAATTTCACCAGCAAGAGCAGGACCATCTCTTCTTAATGTCTCCAGGCAGTTCAGTTAAAAAGAACAGTGGAAAATATTCCTAATGCAAATACTTTGATCTGAAATTACAAACAGGCTATCTGCTGTAGCCTACAAGAATTTTTCTCAAGCATCCTTCTGAGTAAGTACCTTAAAAATATAGCAAATACAATAAAATAACAAATTCTGAGTAAGACAATATACCCAGAAACAATAATCAGATTAAAAGGATACAAAAGTTTGAATAGAATCAGCCTGATCCTATTTAACTGTCTCACTTAGCACACATACTCCGGCACAGCCGCAACAAATTAATATTTTTGAAGGCTGTTAAATAAGCTGCAACATGATGCTTTCTCCTCCTTTTCAACCATATGCACACAGCCACTTACACCTACACAATCCACACACATCCCAACTCCTGCAGGTCTCCCTGTGAGCATGCTCTTCCACTGCAGGCAAATGCACCTGGTGCATTCTGTCATGTACAGTCTGTACCAAACTCTGCTGGCAGCCGCACTGACTACCAGCAGCAGAAAGGTTCATTAGGAAAATGAAAGTGGTCCTACAGCAGAATCCTGTTAGATTTTATTTCTAATTACAGAAGGGAAAAAAGAAAAAGAAAAAGCATAATTCTGTTTTAATACTGCAGGAAACAATTAAAAATTCATTACCAGTGAAGAATCTTGCAGTTATGTGGGTTTGGAATGGCACCAGGGAAGACTGCAGTTAAAATTCCATCATGCCTTGTCCTTTTTTTTTTTTTCCCTTTCTTCTTCTATTTTTTTTTTTTTTAATTCTCCTTTTACAGACCACACCTAACTTCCTGCTGAAGGATCCTGGTTATTGAAGTAAAATCTGGCATTTCCTCTGTGAGCCTACTAAGTGCTGTAACTCTTATTGCCAGTAGATGGTACTGATATATACTCATAAATTCTTCTCAGAAATCGTAAAGAATTTTTGCATGCTTGAACACTTCCTTAAACTGAGACTCTTGGACTAAAATATATGATTTTATATAACCAGTCAAGTCTCAAGATTCTCAAAAATTCTTTTGAATACATAGCAGCTACTGATGTGACCATAGCTGTTAAAACTGTGAAGGTAAGAAAGAAGGAAAGTAGGAGGGATAGCAAAGTCAGAGAAATCAAAAAATGGAGGTTACACAGACAGAGTACAACCTAAGCAATTGCTGAAACTGTATTATCAGCAGTCTGGATTATTTTAAACTACAGGTTGTATAAATGATCTAAAATAAATGCATACAATATGTTCACTGTGCATTCTTTCTAAATGTGCATCGTCCAGCAAAGGGAAGGAAGGAGGTTCACTGAGTGTTCACTGCAGCAGCGAGCTCCTATACAGAAGTCATCTATTCTTGCTCCTTGCTGCAGCAGGTGGTTGGGAGCACTGTATGCCACTCTCTGTAGCAAATCAGTAAAACACCCCCTTTGGGCCCCACTCCACCAAAACACCATCCTACTTCTTTCCACTCTTCTGCTTGCTCTGTATTTTCCATGCTTACCAATTTTCGTACTTTTTCCTCCTGCTGCACCAATAAAACTTTTTTATCTCTCTCCTACCTCACCATCAACCTTCTGCCCTTCCATTCTTCTTTCACACAAACACAAATCTCTTCCAAACTTTTCAAGCAAGACACATTGCTGTATCTATACGTTCAGATGTTCGGGCAGTCATTTACTCTCTGCCGTCTCCTTTCCTTCAGCCACGAAGAGGACAAAAAAAAAGGGTATGGAAAGTAATAAAAAGCAAAATGTCAATCTAACGTGAGAGACATCGGAGAAGGAATTAATAGAGTGGCTGAAGAAACGTCACTGTATCTTTGAAAAACAGACAGTGAAGAGAGGGGGAAATATTGATAATTTTGTCCTTTGGTAATTGTGGTAAGAGAATTAAGAGTTCGACTTGGTCAAAATAAGGTTTTTGAAATTTTCAGCAATTAAGACAAGATGTGCCAAATGAGAATTATAATTGAACCACATCAAAAGTATCACTTTGGTTTTGATTAATTTAAACATTACACAATATTTTAAAATAATGTTAAAAGCCTTTTTAGAAAAGTGTTTCATTCAATAGGGTTTTCTATTTTCACAGATAATTAAAAGAAATCAACAAAAAGTTTACAAATAGTTCCATGTAAACAATTTTTTTGGTTAAGAAGCTTGGGATGAAAACTTCTGGCTGGCTCTAATTAGGACTACAGTTTACTTGGGGCTGTTCTGAAGTCTCAGAATAAGAGGATTGTGAGGCAGCACAGATCCACAGGAGGAGTAGACGAGCTTCTAACTACAAGAGCATTTTGATTATTTATTTGTATGGATAGGCAACATCTTATGTATGAAAGTTACAGTAAACCAAGAACCTGAAAAGCTGGGCTAATTCACACAATATGGGAAAGGCACCTCATTCTTCCATTAATAGTATATTAAATGAAAGCATCTGATTAATTGTTTCTTATTGTAAGGGTCTTAAATTACCACGGATCACATATTGATTTCCACCAGCGATACACAATATACAAGCACAGTGTGAGGAAGGACAGCGAAAAGAGAAGACAAAAAGGAAATAGTCAGGGGACATTGTATCCCATTGCCTTAGAGGCTTAGGTCTATAGTCTTATTAGGAGGCTGTAAAGAAAAATGAACAAGTATTTTGGAGAGACAGACTACACAGGAAATGCAGTCTAAAAGAAAAATATATATATTTCTAAAAAGGAGACAACAGTAATACATCTAGAGAAGCTTGTAACAATCCTTAAAACAGATACTACACATAGCTATACTAAATCTAACAGATAAAATTATTAGAGATAGAAAGGGAAAATTATTAAATCAAATAGCAAATATCAATGAAAACCCAATTCAACATAGCCTATGTTTAAGAACTATTGTGTGAACATGGTAAAAAACTTACCTAAAACATAAACATGAAATAAGAATAGCAATTCTGGTAATAAGTCATTCCAACTGCTGTCTAGCTTCCCACCTACAGCCATGGGTACATTTTATGAACAATTTTATCACTGACGGTATCCATCTTCCCTCTTCTGTGGCATGTGTGAAAGCTTGAAATGGACCTTGTCATTTACTCCTCTGGTAAAACACAAGGCCCACAGAGAGGGTAGAGATGAAGAAGTGTTCAGTGTCATATGTAAAGAAACTCCACATGAGGGTGAATGATTTTTGACAGGAGAGAGCCAAGAGAAACCTCCAAATCTTCTCCTGACATCCTAAGAACCTTCATTTACAGACAATCCTGATTAATAAAACTAGAAGGAAAATAGATTACCAGTTTTTCCTCAGAAATGTGTAAAAAACCGTCTTTGTTCAATGGCAAAGCAAAGTATTAAAAAGCACAACTGGCAACTGGCCATCATTCTCTGTGGTTCTGTGATCGTTTTACTCTCCAGCTGTGTGTCCCTGTACTATATTAGATTGTCCCTAATTGCATGACTTTTCATTTATAGTCCTGAATTTCATCTCGTTCCACTAACAGCAGTCATCAAGCTCATCTAGTCCTTTCTGTATAATAGCTTGCTCAGTCTTTGACAACGCCTTACAACTTTGTGATAGGAGCAAATTACATTGGCATATTTCCATTTCTTTGCTGAAACAATAAATTAAACTTTAAATAAAATCTGGCCCAAAATTAAAACAGTGGCAAGCAACTTTGACCAAAGAGTAGGTTACTGTGATACTTGCTGTAGTTTGCAAAATATGTTAATACTACACTAAGACCTTTAATCTTAAAAAAAACCCAACACCATTAATTTTAAGCTCTAAAATAAAACAGTATTTTAATTGAAAGAGCAAAAGAGACCCAAGCAGAGCTTTTTCTTCTTGCAAACAGTATCCATTTAATCAAACACTTGAATTTAAAGAATTCCTGTCACCTCTTTCCCCCATGATAGTTAAAATTCTTACTACACTACTAAATTAATCATGGTGATCTAGGTGACTGAAAACCATGTTTGCTAGCTTTGAGATGACATGACACTGGGAGGGCTACAAGCTGCAAGGATAGTATTAAGCTTTAAAATGTCCTGACAAACAACAAAATGGGCTCAAAATGTGAGG